ATTTTAATTAAAGGGAAAAAAATCCATATACCCTCAGAGATATGTTTATTCAACATGTTCATCGGAGGAAAGCATGCACCTGCAGGGGCTGGTGCCGCACTCTGAAGTGTGGCTGGTGTACAGAGGCTGTCAGGGCTGGTGCCTCTCCTCATCCCTCTTTCCTCACTGCTGGTTGGTGCCTATGAAGGGAAAATATGCTGAAGTGCTAGTAATTCCTGTCCTTCGTCTGTGTTAAGGATATGCCTTGGGCCTAAGAAATGACGCCCATAGGATCTGTGATGACTTGAAAAATCATGCACTAGTGCTATCTACCCTCCAGCCAGCATGGGACGAGTGATGCATTATAAATCCAGATCCTTTACCCGGGGAGAGATTAAAGAAGCAAGAAAAAAGTTTCTTAATCCCTGCCTCAAGCGGTTTAAAACCTCCTTTTTGTTTGGGATCCTACATAAATCAAAACACAGGACCAGCTATATTCTGGAAATAAATCTTCCTTCATATTCACTCCTCACATAGCTTGTCTGTAACACAATCTGAATTCCCTACCAAATATGCTAATAAAACATCAACCATTCTATAATTTAGTAGCATCTCGGTAACATTACTTTCTTCAGTTAAATGTCATTCTTTCAGAGTGCACTTGACATCCCTCTTACACATAAAAAGCAGAATATCTTAATTTATCAGTTTATTATTTCTCAACATTGAAACTCACTAAATAAAAATAATAATCACTATAATTTATAGAAAATTAAATAGACAATTGATCATGTACAAATATTTAAAAAATGCAGATTAAATTAGCCTGAAAAGAGCAATTACCTGATTTTTGTTTGTTTGTTTTTGTTTGTTTGTTTGTTTTTGAAAGAATAGAAAGTACCAAAAGAAAAGAAATGATTATTATATAAAAAATATATTTTGCACTTTTAGAAAACCTTTTATTTGAAGATGTGATGCTTTACAGGCAACAATGAATTAGGCCTTACAAGCAGTCAGAAGAAAACTGATTTAAAAAAAAAAATCAAAACCAAATATATGTATCCAAGAAGGTCTGCTGTTCTGAAAATTGAACTCAAAGTGCCACAGATTTTGGCAAAGCCATCAGAAAATGGTTCAGAGCACAAGCAGGTGAGTGCCATCTTGGAGCTGTTTCATCACAGCGCTTCTCATGATGGCGGGGTAGGCCTCACCACCCTGCCCATGCTTGCTGGTGAGGTACTCACAGGCAAAACATGCTGAAATTCAATGTTGTACCTCAAGCTGCCGTGGTGTCTTTAGCTTTACATTGCAAATAATAATAATACTAAAAAATAGTGTGCATGCCATTGATCCAGACCTTGAGCTAATTCGAAGCTGGCTTGATATGTCCACGTGGGCTTTGATCACAGCTTTTGGGTGGGGACATTTACAGTCACCTCAAAACCAAAACCTGGCCCTTTCAGACACCTTGCACCCGTGCTGTGAGGAGGAGTCTTTAGACCACGCTCAGTTAAACCAGTGTCATTGGACCTCTGGTGCAAAGCAAAGGTGAAGACTTCAAGGTATGGGTGCAAAACAGAGCAATGTAACAGTTGTTCAATCATACAACAATTAAAGGGTTGTTTTTTAAGAATCCCACTCTTCTCTCCTGAGTTGCGTGAACTTTTTCTGCCTGTCACTGTGTTCATTCACTGCTCGTACTTGCTAAAGCCAGAAGCCCCGGCAGAATGACTTCACAAATCACCCCTTGGCAGGTTGCAGGCCAGGTCTCATTCGCACCTACAGCTCGGTGCCTGGGGGGACGCGCGATCTTGTTCAGCTGAAGTGCACAGGTATGCCTTTACTTGCTTCCCTCATTCTGGGCTGTTCACTTGGAGCTGAAACACTTGGCTGTCTGAAAGACAGGTAAGACGTCTCCACTGTTTAATTTTCCTGCTAAGCATGGAACTGAAGTATTGTTGGGGTTTTGCTGCTCCTTGTTTATCTGTTAAAGCGAGCCGTGTATAAAGAATATCATTGGTGTGGAGCGTGACTGGGACATGTAACCACCACGATGGGTGGATTACTCCTGCTGTGGGTACCTGTGTTGTACTGCAGTGCTGTCACAATGGTTGCATTTAGGGTCATGTCTGAGTTTGTTCATTATTCTCACAGACTATGAAATTTGAAGTCCATCTTGGCAGGACATTTTCTTTGTTCTGCCTGATACTGCCTTAGCTGCCAGTTCTCTCTGTAGACAGGGGAAAAGGTGCAGCTGCGTGATGCTAGCCAGCATCATCTCACTGTAGCACACCAGGCTCTCCGTGGTTGTGGCAAATGAGAGAAACTGAAGGAGTATGAAAGTCTGGTGGCCCCTTATAGCTTTCTCTACCTATGGCGGCTGAAAAAGGGGGCTATTCTTCCGTGTTCTGAATGGGACTGTGTGAAACAAGCCTATATGGAGCCTGTAAAATCTGAAATGCTTTGAATGCCTTTGTTTCTTAAGTGACGAGTTCCTCTACTCTGCCACACTGGGGTATTTCATCTTAGCTCACGCAGGGAGGGTAGTGACAGCCGCATGAAGGTGAGGAACAGGAACAGATCCAAGAAGCAGCACATTGGGTGTGCTTGTATGGGGACACCTCAGGAAACAGCTGCATCAGGACACGGTGGTCCCGCTGATGCCTACAGATAAAGGAATAGATGGAAGGCACAGATCTGGAGTCAGGCTGGCGTTTGGGAGCTCTACTTGGTGACTGGATGCTGGGTCATCTTTCCATCTATGTCTGCCTTCTCTTTACCCAATAGAGTTTTTGTGTTGGCAAATGATATCTTCCTCCATGTGAGTGGTAAGAGGAAGGATGTGAAGTAAAAACCACAATCAACCTGCCTTGGGTTCCAGCTGAGCACTCCTCTATACAAGTATTTTGCACTGACACTGACATCACCCGTTTTTCCTCACTTCACTTAAAGATTAATTTTATAATTTCTAATTATAATTTTGTTACAATTCTGTCTCTGATGAGGCCAAAATTCGTAGCACCTGACTTCAGGCATTTCTTGGTAGCATCTACATTAGGACCTCTGGCTTTGTTTGAAGTCAGCGCAAAGAAACAAGAAACAAGAGAAGGAGTTAGGTGTCTTCAAACAGCACTGTTGAATCTAGTTAGGATTAAGTAGCTGATATTCAAACACTACCATATTTTTGCTGATAGCATTTTTTTTATTATTTTTTCAAACTATCTGAATATGTTTTTATGGTCTTCTGCTAAACCCCATGCGAAGTGTCCCTATGCTTTGATCTCATTCTGAGCACTGAAAACCGTCATGAGAAATTTCTGCTAGAACAAAATCATAACTAGGGTTTCCTTTCAGTCATGATGTTTTTATTTTGTTCCTTCATTTTGCTGAAGGATAGCCCTGCAGAAGGTGTGCCCTTGTGCAGCGGGGCACTGCGTGACCCACCAGGTCTTCCCTTCATCAGACCACCCTGAGCTCCACACAAAGGCATGAGGCTTGGGCTGGCCCTTCTGTTGTTTCACAGTAAGTACAAATGTTACAGTCATTGGAGCCAATTTTGAAATACTATCATGTCATTTATGTGTCAATGCAAGATTTTTTTTACTTCTTTTACATACACAGTTAAAATGCATGTGATATGGAGTCTTTGTTCCCCACTCTCCTGCCTAGGAGCTATGAGTGGAGTGATGTGAAAGCTTTAAATACAAAGAAAAGATACACATTGTGATTGAATCTGAAAGAGGTCCTGAAATGGGCAATCAATGCCTGCTAACAGCTAATACATAAATAAAGAATAATAAATAAAGATAAATAAATTATTAAAATAAATAAATAAATATGGATAAATAAATGGATAAATAAAGGCAAGCCAACCAAACATATGTATTGTTTTATACTTAATGAGTCAAGCTTCATTGATCGCCTGAAGTATAGCCTGAGACACAAACTGAAATCTGGATGTTGCAGCAGTTTCTACAACCATTTGTAGTAAATAATGCATATTTACTGCTGTAATTGCATTACTGCTCCTCACGTCCCTGTGGGATCTTTGCTTATTGATTCTATTTTTTTAACTGCACTTTTTATAACAAGTTGAGCCAAGTAAAGCTGAGCAGATAAAGCCTCCAAGGTACCCATTCCTGTTCAGGGTTTCAGGACAGAACTTGTTTAAAAGGACAAGCCCTGTAAGGGAAGTCTTGACATAATGGGAAAAAAAAAATAAATTCTTGTCAGACAAAATAAACTGAAAAAACTCACAATTATTTACAGAACTCTCAATTATTCTGATTAATTATTAATGGCCATTCCATGGGTTCCAAACAGAGGGCTCTGGGACTGGATCAGGATGTTCATTGCAGATCACCAGAAAATCATAAGGACCCCTGACTTCATACCTGTACTCAGTTCCATCGGTACAACTTGGACAACTCAGCAGAAATCAGCAGAATGAATCAGAATCTGGTCCTGCTCACAAAGCCAGAGAATCACAGAATCATCGAATGGTTTGGGATAGAAAGGACCTTAAAGATCACCCAGTTCCAGCCCCCTGCCATGGGCAAGGACACCTCCCACCAGCCCAGGTTGCCCAAAGCCCCATCCAGCCTGGCCTTGAGCACCTCCAGGGATGGGGCATCCACAGCTTCTCTGGGCAGCCTGTGCCAGGGCCTCACCACACTCATAATAAGGAATTTCTTCTTCCATTCCTAAGTTGATTGCAATGCCTGTGATTCTGCTGCAGTAGCGCTGTCTCTGGGTAGACACATCATATGTTATTACTCCTAGCAGATTGGAATGTTTGTTGAGCAATAAAGTGCAGATTATTTAAGTTTTAGCATAAATTTTCAATATGCGAGGTGTATTTTTTATGATTTTGCAGCAGGTGTGTTCATGAGCAAAGCTCTTCCAGGTTCAGAGAGGATATGATTAAGTACAAAAGGAAAATAGACAAAGAATTTACTTTTCTGTTGATGTCAGAACATAACTGATTTTCTCTGCAGAGTATTGCTGAGTACAAGAACTAATTTCAACTCTCTGATTTTCTTCGATGCTCAGTGCTGATAAGACCCCAGCAGGCGCAGGATGACTGTGGTGCTGGGTCCTGCCACCCGGCCATTGGGGACCTCCTCCTGGGTCGCAGCAAGCAATTAACAGCCTCGTCAACCTGTGGATTGAAGAGCCCTCAGAAGTACTGCATTATAGGCTACCTCGAGGTTGGTTTGCTCTTTTTTAGTAAACTGAGCTCTGCTTACTAACGATGTTCTTGTCTGTAAAAGAAGTTGACCAGACTGTGAAGCTTCTACTGGAGTTGTTCGAATGATCATCAGACAGCATGGAATATGCCTGGTGTGAGGCTGTGCCTTATTGCAGCACATATGGAGGGTTTAGCGAAAGCAGCACACAGCCTGCCCAGTGATGCACAGCTTCTCCAGAGAGAGAAATATCCATGAGATGCAAATGAGCACGGGGATTTCTGAGTGAGCTTTGGTCTGCCAGTCTTTCCCCGCTCGGAGATGAAGACCACAGTTTGCATGTGTGTGAGTGCTTAGCAGGATGAACGTGGTCCTTGACATGTCTTTATTGAGGGACACGTCCCATACAGTGCTGAGAACTGAGGCAGCCTGTTCAGAGATTCACACTGCATCCTCTTACGTTGTTTGATCTGAAGTAAGACCAACATCAAAGAAAGCAAAAAACAAAAACAAAAACATTTCTGGCAGATGAAAAGCTTTAGTCTTTGGCCATGTGGGTAGGTAGGTGGACACAAAATGTGGGCAATTAAATGGATCCCTCTTGGGGAAGCAGCTGTGGAGACCCTGTGGGTCCATTGAACATGTGGGAACACTGTCCAGCAGAAACAGACTCCCCTACAGCACATCCTGGAGGACTTGGCCCCACTGAGCTAATAAATTCTTGCAACCAGAAGTATTTTCACTAAATACCATCTGTAGCTGAAGAGGAAGTTAATAAAATGCCACTTCATTTATAAGCAATTGAAAATACTTAGTGTATGACCTTCTGGCAAAATGCTGTGCCACATTTACAGTGTGAAGCTCTGCCATGCTGAGATGACACCAAGCACTGCTCCAAGTTACTCTGCAAAATGTAAATATCTTTTTTCCCTTCTGAAAGGTCGTTTGAGCTGCTCTTCACTCTTTGCAGTTTTTCCCCAGGTTGATCCATTGAACAAATGGATCCTGGGCACTAAATTGCTGGCTGTGCTCTGAGCCTTGGTGCAGCTTGATTGTGAGGCACAAAGAGTCATCTCTGAGACGTTGCATTTCTGGCCCTTGGCTGTACGGCTGCCTTTTTTGTCTTTTTAAGAGGAGATCAAAGAGTGATAAAAAATTAATATTTTCACTTGCCTGTACTTATCCTTTGTATTATGTAAATATAGACTCGAAAAGAAACAGCTGTTCCTGCAATAATCCCAGTGATTTAATGCTGCCTTGATACATCTTGACCCTTGGTGACTGTCTCCTGAAGACGAGTTACAAGTCCTGCTGCTTCCCAGAGATGTTTTTATATTCCAGCAATGCAATCTGCTGTACCAGCTCCCCTTAAACGTGCGTGCCACCTAAAGCATATAGAGAGTCCTGCTGAAATCAATTCTCTTCCCCACCAGCACACCCTTTAGCACTTTGCTGGAGGCAAGCCATGAAGCTTCATGCCTTGCAAAGTTGAGTTCTTCCTCCCCAAATTCCCCTCCCAATGACCTGTGCCATGACAAGAGCACCGTGACGAGAGCAGTCCCGGCGTGTGGAAGTTTGTCAGGCAGCGTGGCAAGCTGCCAACAGCACAGGCTTGGTTAGGATGTTTAATGAAAAGTCAGATTGAAAAAAAAAAAATAGAGTTTGACTTCTTTGTGTTTGAAAAGAAGCACTTTAAATAGTTGTCAGTCTTGCTTAGAATAACGTCTCTGTTTCTAAATGTAGGTTAAGTGGGTTTTGGCCCTATGATTGCACTTTATGTCTAGAAAGGAAGAGAACTCGGTGCTGAGGAGGGTGTAAAGCTGCGTGCTTCAGAGGCAGATGGGATCTGGCAGACCTGCCCAAGGGAACATGCACATGCTTGCCATTTGGGGCACAGAAAGGTTGTTACGGTGCAACCTTAAACATAAGTTGAATGAGTGTCACGCTGAGTGTGTCTGTATAAGCCAGAGCGTGGGTGTGCACACTCCTGCCAAATGCTGAGATAACTGAGCTCTCCTTTCCAGAGCTTTGTAAAATGATATGACTGAGTATTTTTTGTGCTTCTGTCTTGTCTTATAAGTTGAATTTTCATCATAGGCCACAAAGTGCAATGTAGAATGGCTAAATATGACGTACATTTATCATAATATTTAAGTATATATTTATTGTAGTATTTAAAACACATGGATCATAGCACACCTGCAAACCTGTATCTCTTTATTCGTTTAAATGTGAATAATTCCCAGGTGATTTCATGAAAGTTGAATACATGAAAGTTGGCCACTTGGCCAACCTGATCTAGTGGGTGGCATCCTTGCCCATGGCAGGGGGGCTGGAGTTAGATGACCTTTAAGGTCCCTTCCAACCCAAGCCATTCTGTGATACATGTGCAAACCATTCCTAGCGTTTCCCTGTACATCCTGAGCGTGCTGGGTGGGCACTTCTGCCCCAGTCCCATTCCAGTCATTTCCAGCCTGGCCTCTGACCATTTCCATCCACTTAACTCAATTTTGTGCTTTCAGCTGGATCCCTGGCGCAGCCTCAGCCAAGGCGTTGAATCCTTGCCTCCTCCTTCCTTCCCTGTAGGGTGCCAGGCCATGCCCAGCTCCCTGCTGCATTCCTGCTGTCACAGCTTGTGCTGGTCCACGCAGCTCAGCACAACTCATCTGCCCACCTGGCACGTTCATCTTGTCACCTCTCCTCACGTCTTCCCTGTCACCCTACTGACCTCCCAGTTCTGCATCCTTTTTAAGCTTTTCCCACTCCACACTGCCTACAGAAGGCACCGGCAGTGGTTCAGGTGGTGGTGTCAGCCCAGGCCACTTACATTTAGCTGGATCTAGCCTTGCTTTCCACTTGCACAATTGCACCTGGCTGCTGCTCCTGGCAACACCTCCAAGGTGCCAGCAAATGTGCAAAAAAGGGAGAAAAAACCACCAGTGATGTAGTGAATGTTCCTCTTCAAGGCTTCCTCAGTCCCTGAAGGAGCCAGTCCTCCCTTGTATCCCCTCTGTGATCTCACTCCAGGCTAGAGCCTGCAATCACATAAATACGTGTGCATCCACCTGATCCTTGGAGAAGAGACTAAACGTATCCTTTATCCTGCTTGTTTTGTTTTCTAGGCTGAACAGAAGTGCTTTCTCTGTGATTCCAGGTACCCATATAACCCCTATATGCAGCACAACAGCCACATGATTGAAAATGTTATCACAACTTTTGAGCCTGATAGGAAAAAAAAGTGGTGGCAGTCAGAAAACGGTAAGTTTCCTTCACAAAACATTTCTGCATGAGGTTAGATTCACTTCTGTAACTGTTACCCACCACCTGGCCTTCATGAAGACCACGTGTGCTCTTTGCTTCAGCAGTACAAGGTGCATTTGCCTACAAATGCATACTGACAGAGTAGGCAAAACACAAAGACCCATTTAACACAAGTAGTGCTTGCAGTGAAAAGTACTCGTATTTTAGTGAATAATTAAATAAAGTTTGGCTACCGTACCAGCACCTTTATTGCCCCATGTTAATTTTGTCACAAGCTTCTTCGTAGTAGTTTGTCACTGACATCAATTGATAAATTCTTACATCTTCTCTGTGAAGGCATAATAGGAGGAATATCATTTACTCTATCTTATTTGGCATTTTGCTTGTTTGTTTGTGTGGTTTTGTTTTGTTTTGTTTATCTATATCTGTTGTACTTTTGGAAAATGTCTGGTGTGGTAGCTTTGCTCGCGACACTTTCAGGTCTGTCAGTATAGAAAGGTTTAACAGATCAATTTAGCATGAAGAAAATCCCATATTTTGTATTGTTTTGCATTTCTGTCAGAAATAAGCAAATAATTTGAGTGGAATTAAGAAAAATCTAAGTGGTTACAGTGAGACATGAACCCAGAACCTTACAATCACTGTCATTTTCAGTCTGAATGGTCTGAGCAGGACCTCCGACCATCTCATGCAGCCTCTGACTCACAGCATCGTGGATCCCATTCTGGGTTTGTGCTCACAGGATGCCCCAAAGAGCAGGGCTGCTGTGTTGGAAAAGGCGTCTTTAAATTCCTCAAGGAAAGCTGCCTCAGCAGTCCCTCAAATGTGTGTTGTGCTCTTCACTTCATTTTCCTTCTCTTTTCAGGTATTGACCATGTCAGCATTCGACTGGACCTGGAAACCTTATTCCAGTTCAGCCATCTTATCCTGACCTTTAAGGTACTACACGCACACCTTTTACCAGAGCTTTCATGTAATTTATACACTAATTATTTAACCACAAGAATAATTGCTTAGAGAAGCAGTGAAAGCATCATCTTTAGAGGTTTGTAAGAGCAGGTTAGATAAACACCTGTCAAGTATGGTTATAGTTGATCCTGCCTTAGGGGAGGTGGATAGACTGAATAGCTTCCCATTCATGTGCCTTCTGGTCCTATGTTCTATAAATCCAAGAATTAAAGCTTAAAAAAAAAAAAAAAAAAAAGCAACATTAAGCCCAAACATTTTAGGGCATTTCTGAACTGAGGTTGCTCTTTCAAGGTTTAATTCAGTCTTCTTATGCATGCCTGTTATGATCCATCCAGGTGGTTACACACTTTTTTTCTATAGAATTCCTACACTATTAACGGAGATTTCCTTATTTAGAAAGCAATCTTATACCTCTATGGGAGGTTGCCCTGCCCTTTTGCTTAGAAGGTTTATATGAGGAATCTGGCTTCTTTAGAGACTCCTGTAAGCAGCACAGTGTCCCCATAGTGCACCTGCAAGATCCAAGCACAGAATTTTAACTGCAGCTGTTGGCATCCCCCAAGCAGGAATGTCAGTACAACAGCTCCTGAGATGTCTTATCAATGTCTGGTTAAGAAATTCATGAAATAATGTTTTTTGCAGACATTTCGGCCTGCAGCAATGCTGGTTGAACGCTCCACCGACTTTGGACAGACCTGGAAAGCGTTTAGATATTTTGCACAAGACTGCGCAGCTTCTTTTCCCAACATCTCTTCTGGTCCAGCAAAGGGTGTGGGGGATGTCATTTGTGATTCGAGATATTCAGACATTGAGCCCTCCACTGAAGGCGAGGTATTGCTAGGAGTCTGCGTTTGAGATCATACGTGGCCAGTTTTCTGGAGCTGAGGGACTCACTTCTGTACCCATCAGATCCACTTATACAAGCCCTGGGACATTAAGTGATGTTGACTTTACTGAAGTAGGAGGGAAAGAATCCAAATGAACTCGTAAAACAACTGTGCAAGGCCTTCTAGTGGTTTATCCTGGTTTTCAAATTAATGTGAAAGTTCCTCCTCATCAGAGTTCTTCAGCCTCTATGGCTGAAGGGCACACACCTAATCCTGACATGTCAGTCTGCCAAAAAGGCTTTTTGTCTCGCAAAGCCAGGGTGAAAGAGTGAGAGTACTTGCTGAACCAGGGCCACCACCTGGTTTTAAGTTCTATGGTATCTGTGAAGTGCAATAAGTATCAAATGGGTCTCGGGTAACAGACTTTATGTCCAAAAAGAATAGCTTCCATGACTTACAGAGCTGTTTTTAATTTGTTTTTCAGGTTGTCTTAAAAGCTTTGGATCCCAGCTTTGAAATAGAAAACCCATACGTGCCATATATCCAAGGTAAGAACAGTGCAGGTTTCCTCTGAAGACACTTTGTACGCTGAGAGGGTCAAAAGCTCAGCTGGTGTGAATCAGGGATATTGAAAATTTATCCCTAAAGATCATAGGGAGACATCTGTATTAAAAAATTAGGTGGGCTGGTCTTGTCCCCTAGCCCAGCAGGCAAACAGCCCAACTCTGAACAGCTCCATGCAGCTGTGCTGTGTTTCCCTCAGGGAGGGGGTGGCCTAATCCTCACTGCCTTTTGGGAGCAGCCCCGGAGCTGTGCATGGGCCCAGGAGGCATTGGATGGGGAGACACAGCTTGGCCAGGCCAGGGCTGTGCCAGGGAATGTGTGAATGCTATGCAGCTGTGTGCCAGGAGTGTGTCCGTGCCCTGACACTGTGTGGGTTATTGGTCATGGCCAATATCATTTTAACTATTTCTTCAATATGGGGGAATTACTGGATATTTTATGCAAACTGAGGATTTTGACCCTCTTCATTTCCAAATGAACTTGGGCTCTAGATTTCTTTTCTTTCCCTGCAGAGCTCATTACGATGACAAACCTAAGGATCAACTTCACCAAACTCCACACCCTCGGGGATGCTCTGCTTGGAAGAAGGCACAGTGACCCCCTCGAGAAGTACTACTACGCTGTCTATGAGGTGGTTGTGCGGGGCAGCTGCTTTTGCAATGGTCATGCCAGCCACTGTGATCCCATGCAGAATCTGCGGGGTGATGCCTTCCATCAGCCCGGGATGGTATGGCATTAACACCATCTCCAACAAGGGCAGTCCCTACTGGGTATTCTGGGGGAAGGAAGGGGTGAAAGGAGGGAGGGAGAGGAAGGAAGGTCCCTGATACCTTTGGATAGACCATTTGCATCTCTAGTGCACAGCTTCTTCCTTTAGAGCTCTGGGCCAGATAGCTCACAAGTTGTTTCTTTGTTGGCACCGGTGTGATGTTTCAAAAGCAACCGGGTCGTGACATGTTGAGAATAGCAGCAAAATACCAGAGCTGTAATGGTGCAAATATAACGTGGTAAGTAGCCCGCGCTGTGTGCGGACTTGACTGGCTGCTCGCTGGGTGCATTCCACTCTCCAGCTGGGCTTGGGGGCTCTGCGGCAGGGAAGGAGATGCTGGCACAAAGAATAGCTGATAGTGCAAAGCTAACCCATGAAAAAAGGATTATTAAAAAAATTAGGAATGTTATTGCAAATTCTTTCTGGGAACAAGAGTGTTTTGTTTCTTTTTTTCCCCTTTTTTATTTTTTCCCTTAGAAAATATGTATTTCAGAACGGAGACAAGTAGGTAGAGAGATACAGAAATAAAAAAGTTGAAATCTCCATTGGTATCACTAGAAATCTTTTTTTTTTTCCTCATTGTTGCTTAGCATTTTTAAAACTGATTAAATTTTACAGGTATTCTCCAGACATTTTACTCAAATAAATGAGCGTTTTGTCAGCTGAGGGAGCCAAAGAGCTTTGAATTTCCCTGATCTTGCTGGTGTACCTAAAGCAGATTATTACTGACTGGATTTGCAGATAAGCCTTTTAACATAGCATAAGCAGCTCAGGAGGGGCTCTATCCCTTCTTATGAATACAGATATAATTCCTGGAATGATAAAACTTGATTTAGGAGTCCTTGCTGGAGATTAGTGGCCATTTTGTAGCATTAGGACTTGCAGTAGTAGAGAAAGAAAAGATCACATTGAATCTATTACTTAAGGTAGGCAACAGAGCCATCAGGAACAGATTACTTCAGCGGACATAGAGAAAACATCATTTTGATCCAAATCTGTTTCACTTGAGAGAGGAAAGGATGCTTTTATATTTCACTTCAAATTCCACAAATCTGAATAGAGTCATTCTCTTCTCTTCTCTTCTCTTCTCTTCTCTTCAGCTTCCTCTTCTCGCGAGGCGGAGAGGGAGGAGAGGAGAGGCTGCAGAGGAGAGCATGCGAGGGACGAGCGTACCTGTCTCTTCTGTTCCATAGTACTCTGATAGTCTCTCTGCATGGTCTACTTCTCTTCTTTCTTCTCTTCTCTCTCTCTCTCTTCTCTTCTCTTCTCTTCTCTTCTCTTCTCTTCTCATCTTCTCTTCTCCTTTCTTGTCACCTTATCTCTTCTCACCATACTGCAGGTCCATGGGAGATGTATCTGCCACCATAACACTGAAGGCCCATCCTGTGAAAGATGTAAAGACTTCTACAATGATGCTCCCTGGAGGCCAGCTGAAGGGGCACAAGATAACGCCTGCAAACGTAACTCACAAATATAATTTTCCTTTTTAATTACAGGGGGGTGAGGGTGGGGTGCAGCACAGTCCCAGCACAATGGATTATGTGATGGTTTTCCATGCTTCATCTAGAAAAACAGATGGATTTGTGCATCCGTCAGTGTTGTGTAGCCCTACAGGAAGGAGAACTGTTTTACATTCCTATTTTTCATAAAAAGAAATTTTAAAAAATAAAGAAAAAGACAATAATGCAAAAAAGACCATTTATTGCTTAGCATAAGGTCTTTCTCTTGCAAATGGAAGAAGTATTAGACAAGACTGAATTATTTATTTCCACAGTGGTGAATAATGTAGGACATGCAAGAATAATACATGAGGATCTGTAGCAAACATTCAGCTAAATCTTTGGTGGAGCAGTGTTTCCTACTCCATATCAGGCACAGACCCCTGCATTGGTACTTCTCAAAGTGCAGGGCCACTTCTGACTCGGGTAAGGCTCCAGCTACCCCACAGAGAAGGAGGTGATGGAGGAGGTTACCTTACCTCACTGTCTGTCCTACCTTACCCTCCCCAGGGTGCCTGTGGGGTGTTTTATGGGAGGATGCTGCCTCCTCCTTGGGGCAGCTGCTGCTCCCTGGAGGGGAGGATCCTTCCTGAGGCAGGATCGGAAGCACCCAGAGTTTCTCACAGCATCTGGCAGCTGGTATGTCAGCCTGAAATGGTGCCACTCACGTAATGAGGTGCTGGAGCCTGCTGTCGTTTTTCTCCTGGCAGCATATTTGACTTGGTTTATACTCTAAGACATGAACACATGCCCAAGACAAGACTTTGAAATGACTCAGAGCCACCTCCTGTGCAGACTGCTAACTTCTGCAACCAAGAGATTTAGTTTTCTTCACCTTTGGTCTTGCTCCCCCTTCTCTCCAACTTTTTTCCACACTCTTGTGTTTCTTTTTTTTTTTTTTTCTAATTTGTCCCCAATCTTAGCATCATTATATTCCTACCTAGTAGGTATAAACCCTATGAACTTTGTTGATGGCAGCAAAACAAACTTGCAATAGAAGCATCATTATTTGCAGAACCTGGACTCTGTGATTTTTCGACCCCACTGTAAAGCACAAGGCCTGGGATGCTGTAGTCTGTCTGGGACACTGAAATGATGTGAATGACAAGTAACCCAGTGTTAAAGGTAGACAGCAATGGTGCCAAGGCCAGGAACCGTGGTGCTAAATATCTCCTGTCTGTTTTTGTTTGCAGGCTGTAACTGCAATGGCCATTCTGGCAGATGCCACTTTGACATGGACGTGTACCAGGCCAGCGGTGGGGTCAGCGGCGGGGTCTGTGAGGACTGCCAGGACAACACCACGGGGCAACACTGCGACCAGTGCAAGCTTTTCTTTTACCAGGACCCACGCAAAGCCATCTCAGACCCTCACGCGTGCCTCCGTAAGCTTCCCTTTTTTAGCTTTTAGTTGTTTCTGTTGCATCCCCACACCTGAATGCTACCGTGGTTGTAAAAATGTCACCGAGCCTATAACATCCAAACTACTTTACAAAATAGCTGCATGACTCCATTCTTGAAACAGCATTATACCAGGAGCTGCATTGTTGCCAAACTGAGGTTTGAAATCCAGCAGGGGCACCATCTTTCCTGAGTAACATCAGTATTCTGATGTACCCTACAGTAGTGCTGTTGCTTCTGTTGCTTCTGTGGTAGTAAGGGATTACAAAAGTGGTGTGAAATGGTGGAAAGAGGAGCATCTTTTACTAGGTCATATATAGAAAAAAACAAGCTTTCAGGCATGCTTCTTTTGAAAGATGAGCTAAATTCAGTATTAGCATAGGATGGGAAAAGTTCTTTGAATGTAATTTAATTTTAGTAATTGATTGGTGTGGAAAATCCGTAAGGAGCTAAGGGGAGGTTACAAAGAGAAGTGCTGTGGTATAATTTAATGCTGCTGTGAGAAACAGCAAGTGCCAAAGCAGAAAATGGAATGCATCATGAAGGCAGCATCCCCTGCTGATCCCATCCTTTCTAGCGAATAGTTCAGCCATGGCCAGCTCAGACCAGCTCTGGGGAAGTGTGGTACCCCCTGTAACCTTACAGCTTTCACAAGAACATTCTCGAGAGTACAGTGCTCCTCCCCATGTGCTCTGGACAGGGTATGGAGTGGGTGAGTGACACCTATTACTACCTAAAGCAAAAGGTAAACTTCTACCAAAATGAAGACTGCAACTTTCCTCCAGAGAAAAAGTAGATCTTGGAAACCCTCTTGAAATACTTCTTGGTGTGGCTGTGCATTAACCGTGAAGCATCCAACACAGCAGACATGGACAAACATCTCTAATCTTTACAAGAACACTGAATTTTTGACAGCCTGAAGTTCTCTAATTACATTTTCATGCCTCTATCTAAACATGCCTTTTTATATCTCCTTGCCCCTGCCTGCAGCCTGCAGCTGTGACCCAGAAGGCACATTGCACAACGGCATGTGTGAAAGCCGCACGGATCCTGCTCTGGGGACAGTGGCGGGTCGGTGCCCGTGCAAGGAGAACGTGGAGGGCGTCCGCTGCGACCGCTGCAGGGCGAACCACTACGGGCTGAGTGGCAGTGACCCCCTGGGCTGCCAGCGTATGTAGAGCACTGCTTTTGTTCTTCTTGCCAAAGCATTTCAAAGGGATGAAGGTATTTGAATGTACAGATGCACATGCTAACACACAGACGCTGTCCTCATTACAAAATACTCAGTTGCCTACTGTAATTTTATGTCAAGGACATGTCCCTGGTAAAGCATGTGAGAAAAGCAAGGATTATCAGGACAGAAAATATGTGAAATCACTTGCAGAACACGTAGTATTTTATAATAGATTAGGCTGTTGTTAATAGAAAGATCATTAATTATGCATTTTAATTGGGAAGGGAGGTTAAAACACATGGAAACTATTTTTTGTACAAAAATAAGCACAAGAGTCATTCCTCTGAGCAAGGGTTGTTGGCAAACACATCCCACCCCTACTCAGGCATGCTGTGGGTTTGCAAGCCCATTGTGCCCAGCACATGGTCCTCAGCCACATGGAAGGACCGTTCAATGCAGATCAGCACGCAGGAACACATGGCAAACCACCACATCAAGCTGCTGCTGGTGCTCCCTATCCCCCCCGAGGGTGCCCACCGAGGAAGCTGCAGGGTGTCAGGACATGTCCACCCAGAGGATGGAGACTGCCTGCCATGCTGCTGCCACATCTAAAGCCAATGCCAGTCCTGCTGCGGTCACTGGAGCCAGCAGAGCTAACCAGACATTTCTCTCCCTGCAGCCTGCAGCTGTGATGCCTTTGGCACTCTGCCTTTCTCCATCTGCGACCCTGCCAGCGGCGAGTGCCTCTGCCAGCAGTTCGCCACAGGCCGACGCTGTGAGAAATGCGTTGTACGTACCCAAAGAGTTTTGTTGATGCTGGCTCTCCTTGCATGTGGTTGTAGAAGTCTCCTCTCCCATCCCCTGCCTTCCTGTGGGCTCCAGGGTGGCATTTCATCAAAGGAGGAAATGGTATCTGTTCTGTGCATGAGACGTCATTTCTTGTGCAGTGACACTGTTTGGGGAATATGAAGTCCATCTGGTTTTACCAAGGGAGTGCCTCCACCCTGGCATGGGACAGCTTGGGGGTTTGCCCTTGGTGATGTCTCCATTGTCTTCACTCTGTTTTCATGGACTGGGATCGTGCCCACAGATGAGGAAAGCAGCAGGAGCTGAGTCCCTGAAAGTGTCCTTCATTCAAAGCCTGAAACCGTCCTGAGATTCATTCAAAGCTTTTCCTTAACAGACTCTGGATGGGAAAATGTGTCCTCTCTGCAGTAGGCTGTGAACTGCTGCTACCCTGACCTGCAGAGGAGGATGGGGAAGCTGTGGATTTAGCTGCTCTCAAAATATTTGTAGCCAGTATCCTCACAAAAAAAATAGGATATCATAGTCTTTTTTCCTGTATAAGGGAACAGTCATTGCCAAAAAAGTAAACAATTAGATTTACTTGAAATTAATTTTATGGTGATACAGTTCCATTTTGTGTGAACACATTTGTTTCTTTTCTTTTACCTCATCCAAACATTTGTGCAATCAAATTGGACTAGGAGCAACACTCAGAAAGGAAAGGAAATGCAAGGTCAAGTCCTCAGACCATCTCTGCTGTTTCCAGAACAGCTTGCCTGCACAAATGCATAAATATCTGGCCCTTCTTGCAGTGTCTGAGCACCCATGCAGTCTGGTAGAAGAAGCAATCTCACATGGCCAAGCACAGGCAGGCATCTCAGGAATAGTCCAGAGCATCAATCATCCAAGTGAATAAATGATGTTGCTGTAAATAATTGCCATTTATATATATATATATGTTTCACTTTCTTTTTATCTCAGGTGGGATATTGGGGTCTTGGCAAGAGCTTGTATGGCTGTTCTCCATGTGACTGTGACATTGGCGGATCCCAGAATAACTTGTGAGTTAATGTTCTTCATCAAGATTGGTCCTATTTTTAATTTTTACAAGCTCTTGGGCTAGACTTCCTAATTAGGTTAACAGAGTTTCAGTGCAAGTGGAAAAACAGTCTGTCAACATAATTTAATCACATATGAAGAGTATAAAGTCATGGTGGGATCATGGAGATTTGGTTGTGATTTTAAGTGGGATTTACCTTTTACCTTCAAAGCCAGGATCAGCTAGAATAAAGACTAGTTTAATATAAAATACAAACTGTAGAGTTTGAGAGAAGCAGAGGCCCTAATTTCAGTAGAAATTAGTAGTTATGCATAACATTTTTAACTTAGCTTCCTATACATTCTTCAAAGTTTCAAAAGCTATAAATATATATATATATAATATATATGTTTTGTTTGTTTGTTTGTTTGTTTGTTTTTCCTAAAGCACTGCCTTGTATTCAAAATATATCAATTTAGAGGCCAGTTTTGTTTCAGTTGGGCTGCTCCAGTCTGTCAGGCAGGGGTCTTAACTGTTAGACTTCAGACACATCCTACTCAGACATCCTTCAGACATCCTTCTCAGACTTCAGACACAGAAGCACATAGCCCAATACCATGCATAGTCAGCAGCTCCTCAGCATGTTTGGCGTGTACTTGTCAGTAAGTTAATCAAAGCTAGTGATCATTTAACGTGTTAAGGAAGAGTGCAAGTATATGAAAACTACCGTATCACTCAAACCAAAGGTCCTTCTGACCTCATGTCGTGTTTCTAAAAATGTGTGAGAGATGCATACGAACAGATACTGCAATAGATATAGAAACAGATATGAGAAATGGATGCAGGAATAGATGGGAATAGAGGCTCAGGGAAGAAAGGGATCTGTGCTCCTGGTTATAGGCTGGAGGAAGAAAGACAAGGCATGTCATGTCTCCTAAGTGAGGAAAAAGAAGCACTAAATAAATACGGCATTGGAATGAGGAAACAGAGAGGGTTGTTGGTAGAAATCCTCTTCCACAATGGAAGTGGATTAAATAACTCACAGTGGAAGAAATGAAACAGAGCTAAAGCGAGGGTGGAGCTGAGCAGCTCTCTTTACCAACTCTTGCCCCAGGTGCTCACCAGAGGACGGTCAGTGCCAGTGCCTTCCCAACATCGTGAGCCGCCAGTGTAACGAGCCAGCCCCAGGATACTTCTTTTTACCCCTGGATTATTACATTTATGAAGCTGAGCATGCAACGTCCCTTTCTGGCTCTGCACCCTTGGTATGTACCTGGATTTCTGTGTGTCACGTGGAGAATGCGTCCATGTGGTGGTTGATACCAACCAAGTCCCTTGACCATCCTTAGGACACTCTTGTCTTCCGTATCTCCCATAACTGTGGCTGTTACCCAGGGACACTCACTACAAATTAATCAAATTAATTTGATTATTTAAATTAGAAGAAAATGACTGAGTTGCCAACAGCTTGAGGAGAAGCTGTCACTAATTGTGATACTTCTGGAAAGCTCTAACAAGGGAAGAAACAAATCCCTCTCTGTGTCATTGGACTGATTACTGCTGCCCTGTATAGAGGTACTGATGGTAGCCCTAAAGAATTTGGCATTAATTCCACAACATTTTTAGAATTATTTTTTTCTCCTCAAAACTGGGGTAGCTGTTCCCCATGCAAAGTACAAGTCTTGCCTTGCTGGAATGTGTCTCTTCCGCTGCCTACATTTTTAATAATGTTTTTTGATTTGATGTGTTGTCCAGAAGCTATGGAGAAGGAATAATAATAAAAATGTTTATTTTCAGGTCACATCCACAAATATTTAGCTATAATCACAGCCAGTAATCATCCTACAGTCCAATAATTAAATGGAAAACAGATGTCTGCGACAAAGCTAATTTTAAGAGTGAGGGAAAAAGGTTTCCAGCAGTTGCTGGGCTGTGTTTCAGGGTTTCACCCAGCAGAGAACACAGCTCATTTTAAAACTGGATTTTCCATTTAGTTGCTTACCAATCCTTCACAACTGTTGAGTTGTCACAACTCCTCTCTCTTTACCTCTACCTGATAGGTTAAACCAACTGCTCTTCCAAGGTGTGACGTCTACTTCCAGAAGCAAGGATATGAGTTCACGATTGAAAATGGAAAGATTGTGTTAAACAGGAGCAAAAAACGAAGCGTAAGAAAAGCTGGACTTGGGCAGGTAAATAGGTGCTTTGTTACTTAAGGAAAGATTACAACAAATACTAAATTTAATCTTGCAACAGGGAGAGAAAATGTCTGAGCTTGTGGAATTCACAGTCCTAAACATTAGAATTCTGACACAAGTGAAATCATTTTTTTTGATACAGTTTAGCTCTATTTTTTATAATTCCCACAGACAGGTTTGTTTTGCTATATTCAATGCCACTGTAGGCTCGGGTTCAATGAATTGTTTAGAAGGGAAGAGCCTCAAGAAAGGTAAAATCCCCTCCACCACCACCTTTTTATTTGGTTTTGTTTGCAAGATATCTACAACATCTAAGTGTATCTAGATATTAACATGGTACCTTCTGTATGTAAATTCTCCATCATGGCAAGTCAGCTTAGTCATTTTAAGTATTGATATTTATTCATTCAGCTTATAATGAAAAGTCCAGTCATGTACAAAATCCAGTTTAATCTGTTTAAGGTTTGCAGTGTGAATGCCTGGAGGTGCCAAATACACAGAGATGGATGGATTAATCCAGTCCTTCTCATTGCTCTTGTAGCAAAGCTATAGGAAGCTTTTCTCTATCTGTGACCCTAAACATCCTACATGTGGGAGAGTTCTTAGCATGCAGATTATAGAATCATAGAATCATTGAGGTTGGAGAAGCCCTCCAAGACCATCTGGTCCAACCACCCCCTACCACCAATGCCACCACTAACCCATGTCCCCAAGCACCACGTCCAACCTCTCCTTGAACACCCCCAGGGACGGTGACTCCACCACCTCCCTGGGCAACCCGTCCCAGTGCCTGACTGCTCTTTCTGAGCAGAAATGGCTCCTCATTGCCAACCTGAACCTCCCCTGGTGCAACTTGAGGCCATTCCCTGTGGTCCTATCACTAGTTCAAGAGTGTGTTCAGAAAATGAGGCTGATCAGTGGCTGAAATAAGTAAATAATATGGCAAAAAGCATCTCCTTTCCTTTTTTTCTGAGTTTGCCTGTTTTTAACTTGCAATGTTGAAAACATCAACGTGTCTTTGCAGGATGCCATTCAGTTGGGACAGGGCTCGGCTGCGGCAGTGGTTTTCAGGCAGCCCAGTGCTGGCCGGTCCGTCACGTGGACAGGAGCTGGCTTTGCCCGTGTCCTCAGTGGAGCTGGGCTGAGATTTGCCATCAACAATATTCCCTTCGCTATGGACTTTGATATCGTGATCCGTTATGAGCCTGAGGTATTTGTAATGACTTATGTGTCTTGTGATGTGATAGATGCAGGGTCTGTTTTGCCAATAATAGGCAACTCCTCCTGCTCTTTATTTCTAAAATGAAAATTGTTTGCCTGTTCATCCTTAACAACAGAGAAACATGCACTCTACTGATTCCCTTAACTCCTTGCACTCATATTAAAAATAATAAAAAAAATAGTGTTTTCTAAGTATCAGACAAATTTTCATCTTCTGGAGCTCCTCATTTGCTATCTTTGCTTGTACTGCACTTTTGTTCATGGGTCAGACACCTGCAAAATACCAGCTCCTTCTGGATGGGCATCTTATATTTCTGTCTGAGATTTTCTGGGCAGGACAATGTGTACAGCCAGGAGTGAGCTGATCTGTGCATACACACAAGGTGTTTATCCAGGACCTTTGTAGGCATCCAGCTTCCCAGTTGCTCCAGCTGGGCTCTGAGATGTGTGAAAACTGTTGGATATTAACCAAAATCATAGAATCATAGAATCATTAAGGCTGGAAAAGACCTTCAAGATCATCTGTTCTTATTTTATGTCTGGACAAAATTTCTCAGTGATGAAGATATGTCTAGGGAAACCCATTAACCCAAATCTGGTTAAATCCAAGTCCATAGCCATGTGTTCAAAGACACATGCAAATGTTTTATCCATACCAGTTATACATACATGCTTTGTTCCTTCCCTTCCCAGCTCCCTGGGACTATCCCACCACTCAAGATACTCCTTCTGTCTATTGTATTCTGTTCTTTTCCTGTCATTCTGAGGAAAACAAAACTCCCATTGACTTAAAACATGAGAATAATTTCGCAGTGGGCTTGTTTGACGTTTCTTTTTCCTTCTAAGGACTGGGTGAAACAGCTGAATCTGTAAGACTTGTGTAACAAAGTCATTTATGTTTATTATTCCTTATTAGATGTGAGGGGAGGCACACAGTGAAGGATATCTGTGGGACAACACAGTGCTGAGAAAGGAAACAACTCCAATGGCTTTAACAGAGCTGTTTCCATTTGCACCAGCTGAGGTCCCATTTCCGCTACTGCTATTCAATTAGCCATTGCAAATACAATCCTTTTTTCACCAATAACCTTATTTTAAATCCTATAAAGAACAAAGGGGAAACCTGCTTTGTCCCTGCTATTTGCAACCATTCAGTTGGCTTTCACAAACCATGGCAGGGAGAAAGAGGGTTTGTCAGGTATGAAAAGTGATCATAATTCTTGTCTTTTGTTTATAGACCTTAGAAGACTGGCTAGCAAGCGTCACCGTTCAGCCTACTGGTGCTTTGTCAAGTGAACACTGCAGAACCCAGGGCTTTTCACAGGAGCCACAGGCATTGGCTCTCCCAGCTGCGAAGAGGTCCAGCTATTCCTCTCCTTTCACTGTAGATTTCCTGTGTACAAATCCTTCACTGAACCACTGCAGCACGTTAAATCTGTGGGAAAGCGGGGATATTGGAAACACATGTGGCCTTTCCTGTTGCTGCTGTACCACTGCACCAGGCAGGCCGAAGGAGGGCAGGAAGAAGCAGATGCTGCAGTCTGGCAATGGCTTGCCAGAGCTGGGAGAGCAGCCTTGGGTCCTGCTGGGGCTAATTGCTTTGGCAGAGATCCAGCTGAAGCTATTTCCATACAGGAAGGAAATACTGACCTAAAGACACTGCCATAGCCTATTCTCAAAACCAGGTTTTCAGTTTGCACCTGTGTAAAGAACAGAGAGGAGCTGGGAGGGCAGGGAGAGCTCACAGCATCCCAGCAACTTGCCCTGTCCTGCTCTGGTGAGGGAACGAGCAGAGAACTATGCTCTGTCCATAACTGTGCTTTGTTTCTGCTAAACAGGATTGCCCTTCTGCAAACTCCAGTCTGCCTGGAGCCAGAAACAGAGTATTCTGTGGACGTGTATTTCTCTCAGCCCTCTGCCTCTGGCCCAAAGGCTAAGTCATTCATCTTGATTGACTCTGTAAGTAATGCTGTCATAATTCCCTCTGGACTGGAATTATACCACTTTGAAATGTGTGTGTTTGTTTTTAACATAAACTCATCCAAATATGTTTAAATCATTTATGGTGTGTTTTATCAGAAATTCAGGGAAGCTTGTTCAATTACCTCCATTGGCACTGTTTTTCCATGTTTATATATGGAAAGACAGGATTGCATCATTTACCATTTTTATGGAGCAATGCTATAATAGCTCATCAAATCATACATGTAGTGTGTGTTAATAGCCAGAGTGTGTACCTCTAGAGGTTGCTCATTTATTATGAGCACATTCCGCATATGCTGACAAGATGGTGTGGTTAGGGACACACATTTTTCAATTCTTCATTCACCTATTTATTTTTTTGAAAATCTATGTAATATAACTGAACCTAATTAAAAAAATCATGGCGATTTCGAGATGGGTCCTGTCACTGGAGAAGTAAAATTAGTTCTGTGTTGTCCTGGGAATTATGTCCAGACATTTCCCATGTTTTCACCAAGGCAGAAACTGGGTGTTAGTTTTGGGTCTTTCTCTTGATAAAAATATTTGAAAATTCATTCCTCTAATTACTTCTGTAGAACCGGAGCTGACAAAGGCTGGCCATACTTGGACATACAGCCTCCAGATTATTTTTTCCCTATCTCAGTAACACGACTAAAAATTTTGGCCTGCTTTTGGAGTCATAAACATGGTACCTCTTAGCAGCAAAAACAGTTCTGAGCATATATCTGAGGTCTTATTATAATCTGACTTTTTTGTACACAGTCTCTTTTATTTGAAGAACGCGGGGAATGTCTGGACCTTCCAAATAAATGTGAATTTAGATATAGAAATCCAGTGCTCCAGGCCCCTGTCCTTACCATGCGCACCACAGTCAGGGAATGTGGGAAATTCTGTTTTTCACTATATCTAAGCAAAAATATTTTCTTTTCCTCTTTACGCCACAGCTTGGACTTATTCCCAGAATCAGCTCTGTGGAAAATTTATGCAGTAAGAAGGATTTAGATGACTACCAAAAGTATCACTGCATTGAAATTGCAGCAGAAGTTGGACCTCACATCCTGCCTGAGGCATGCTCACGGCTGATCGCCAGCATGTCTGCCCGCATTCACCACGGTGCCGTCGGTAAGGGGCAACCTGCACAGACACCTGCTTTGGTCAGTTGCTGTTTTTCCCTTGAGTTTGTTGGGCATGTTGACTGGAGAGCTTTCAGTCCATGGTGGTGTGGGTAAGTGAAGCTGATCGGTATGGGCATGCAGGATACATCCCATTGGACCCCGAGCGTGCTGCAAACATCTGTGGGTGGCGTGGCTCTGGAATAGCCATGGATCTTGAAGCCCATCACATGTTGAGCTTGGTGGAGCAGCAGATGGAGCAGTGCTTATGTGCTTTCTGAAGAGCATTGCAATCAGCAGCGGCTTCACCAGATGCCCAAAGCTAATTTTTGCTACCAGAAAATGTCAGGGGAGTTGTCAAGCTCTCTCTACAGATCCTGCAAGACAGCTGGATGCCCTGGTGGAGCTCCAGGCCTGATGGCACACAAGTTAATGTGCTGAAACAAGTTCTCCAAGAAAACCTCAGCGGTGTCCCATTGAGAGTGCAGTGGCAGGTGGACTTTGAAGCCCCTGGCAGTATCCTGGCCCCACTGCAGGAACAGCTGCTGGGCTCTTTGGTTCAGGGAACTTCTTTGATGTTGGGCACAGAGTGACAGAGCTTCTCTGCACTTCCATTGACAGGAGTTGTTTGTCTGGACACCTTTGGTGTTCACATCCCCTGTGGAGTTAGCTTTGATCCTTGCCAAGACCTAGCAGCATCTCCTTAGTTTGTGCTCTTTAGAAGAACAGATGCATCGCTCACACATCATGCCATGTGGCCATGGCCACACAGCTACAATCTTCTCCTCAATTAAATTTGGGCTGCACTGATTCTGTGTAAACCTTCCAGTACAGCTCCCCATAGTGATGGGACTCTCACTTTGGCTTTCTAGCACTGGCATCCGATCATCCTGGACACACATCCTCTGTGAGTTAGCAGACCGCCTTTGTTCAGCAGGACAGTCCAAGCTGTCCACAAAGTAGCAGACAATGCACAGGTTCAGGCTAGGTGCTGCTTGCAGACCGTGTCCAGTGCTGCAGCTAGAGCATGGCTGTAGGTGGTTAGTGAATCCCTGATGAGAGGTCATCAAGCTCTTCCCTTCCTGTCCTTAAGTGCAAAAACTGCAAGTTTATGAGAATGGTCACACCCCTTTGGTTTTTTTTAACAAAACCTGGTTTGATTTTCTTTCCCACTGGCAGCATGCAAGTGCAATCCCCAAGGGTCGCTGAACGCCAGCTGCAGCAGGCTGGGGGGGCAGTGTCACTGCAAAGCCAACGTCGTGGGACGCTGCTGCGACACCTGTGCTGCGGGCAGCTACGGCTTTGGCTTCCACGGCTGCTACCGTGAGTACTTAACAGCCAGTCCAACACCAGTACCAGCACCAGTACCATCACCAGTAACAGTATTGTGCTCTCCGTGGACATCACATCCTTGTAGAGCTTTGAAGCCACAGATGTGCATGACATGATAAAAAAATTATTTCCACATATAACAAATTTGCCATCCCCATTGCTCGTCCTGTCTCTGAGCAGTGTCAGTGATGGGTGGGCTGGTGGGGACATGCTGATGACACAGCTTCTCTTTGGTGTTTTCCAGCATGCGAGTGCCACCCGCAAGGCTCGGTGAGCTCGCTGTGCGACCAGGTGACGGGGCAGTGCGCCTGCCGCCAGGACGTCGATGGGCAGCGCTGCAGCCGGTGCCTGCCTGGGTATTTTGGGTTTCCCCACTGCCGCCCATGCCCGTGTAATGGCTACGCAGAGCTTTGCGACGCAGTGACCGGCGACTGCCTCAACTGCAGCAGGTTTACGGCTGGAAGCCGCTGTGAAAGGTAAGGTGATGGGTGGCACTGCACCACTCACCCCAAAAGCAGCTCTCTGAATTGCATATTTCTCTGAAACATGCCCTATTTGCCGGCTTGTATCATTTCCATATGACCAGCAAATGACTTCATCCACGTGTTTCCACCTCTGCTTAAAACAGTGCTCCTTTTTTTCATTTATATCCTTGCAGAATTATCAGAGGGTTCAGCATGGATGTCAGAATTAAATTTGTTGGCTGGCTAGTTTGGTTTGGCTGGATTGTGCCTTATCATTCCCTTTTAAGAGGATTTCCCCATGAAGCCTGTTGAGCTTCTCTTGCGATGCATTTGGATAATGTGTCCCTTCACTATTGTGGTTGTAGATGTCAAATAGATTAAAAATGGGAGACTGAAACACTTGTTGCCCTGCACCTCCACAGGAGCTCCATTACCCAGGTCAGGGATAATTGGAAAGCCAAGACTTTTAAACTGGCTTGTATGAATATACAGAATTGTGTTCCCATTTGCCATAGTAAAGCAGATTAAAGACCGAGGATGCTTCAGAAGCGGCTTCATTGCCTGCCTGTCCGGGTAATGCCACAGCTGCCAGCACCTTGAAGCAGCCATCACCCCAGGTTTGCAGAATGCTTCAGACAGAGCATTTCTACATGTATGTCACGCCTGAAATATGCAATATTCCCTGAGTGCTCTGAATGAATATTTGCTCTTTCACCCATGCTGGGACTTTCTAATGTCGTGTCAATCACTCCTTGTGTGTACATATGGCAAAATACATGTGAGAGAGGAATACACATAGTCAGAGCTGCATATGCAGATTTTTTTCTGTGATTTTACAGAGTCACAGAATTATTGATTCTATAACCTAAATGATAGTGTGTATATGTCTTATCACACATGTTCTGCACATACTGCTAAAAGCTACCACACAAAAATTCTGCATGTCCAGCTCTTATTACATGTATTCATCTCTCTCTTGTATTTTGCCATATACACACACAAAGAGTTAATATTATTTCAGAGTAGGTGCAAGTTTTCAGGAATATTCCTTGAAAAGAAAACAAATTTTTTATTTTTGTTTTTGTTTTCTCCAGATCTTCAGAATGCAGTTCTAATTTTACATTTTAGACCAAGTTTGAAGCTGCATATGTCTGCACCAACTAATGGGAATAGCATTACAATGGCCTGGTATCCTAAATTAATTATAGATATATATAAATTGATTCACAAGCCAGGACCGAAAGGAGCATTTGACAATTCCTGCTGCTTTGTGTTGACTGCTTTGACAGGTGCATGGATGGCTATTATGGAAACCCCCTGAACAGAGAACCCTGCCGCCCATGCATGTGCCCAGGGGCACCTACAAGCAAGAGTTTTTTTGCACATTCCTGTTACCAGGACACCCAGACTGCAGAATTAGTCTGCAACTGTCTCGAGGGATATTCAGGTAACAAGCAAAATAAAGACTGGTTTTGATTATATTAAAACTGATGTAAAACAAAAATGATGATCCTCTGCCCATCCTCTATTCAGAAATGACAAGTGAAATAATGGTAAAATAGGTAAGAAAAGTTAATGCCCAACTTTACTGAACTTCAGTGGGAATATCCCAAAAGTGGGATTTGTGCAGTTAGTATTCAAAAAAGGGATTCATTTATTCATATTCAGTGAAGTCATTCATTAATCTAATGTCACTCTCTGGAAACCTCCCCCTTTCCTGGGGTACCTGGTGGAGGGAACTCCAGTTGCTCATCACCTTTGAGAAACAAGCATTGCAAGCCCACATCAGAAAGATCAGGGCACCAAAAAGGAAGTGTTTCAGTGTTTGAATGGCCACTGCACTGGAGAAAGAGCCATTCTCAGCTATCTCAAATCTTTTCAGCAAACTGATGTCTCACTTCCAGAGATCCCATTGACTTAGCTTGAATTTCTGCAGGGAAAAACTGAAGTTATTTCCCTTCCCTTGGGCATTACTAAGATTTCCAGCAATGGAGCCAATGCTAAGCCAATGCTGTTATATTTATTTAGGCCATGTTCCTTTATAAGTGAAGAGCAGTTTTGTCCAAGGAATCACTGTAGGGCCAAAATGATCCCTGTTGGTACTTACCCAGGGGATTGCTGTCCTCGGAAACAACTGATATCCTCAGTTCAGGACTTTCTTCCTCTTGCTCCTTCCAGGCAAGGTTTTTGTTCACCTCTGGGGCACCAAGGTCACTGTCCTTGAGACTGGGAAAGGGTCTGGTCCTTGGGACAGTGGTGAAGGAGCAAAGAGTATTTAGCCAAGGATGAGCTCATGGACAAGGTCCCAGTGACTCCAGCCTGCCCAGAAAGGTTTATGAGATGCATAGTGGTAGCACCTTGATTGGGGGGTGGTGGGGAAGCTTTGGGATGGATACTGACAGAACTGCAATGCCAAAAATTAAGGACAGAATGTCCCAGAGCTCCTCTGACCTCCTGGAGATCCTCTGTTAGAGAAGGGAAGGAAGGTCTGTTGGGCTCTGCATCACTCCAGAATAGGGCACATCCCACCTTCCCGTTACACTGGGGTGAAGGCACCAGGGAAAATCCTGCAAAATGGCCTAACTCCAACTACAGTTTTGTTCTCTACGACTTTCCAAGGAGAAGTGGAGATGGAGGTGTTCATCTATCTCCTGTAAAGCAGCATCAGAGGAGGTTCAGACTAGATATTAGGAAATCCTTTACTGAGAGGGTGGTTAGACACTGTAACGGGCTTCCTGGAGAGGTGGTTGACGCCCCATGGCTGTCCATGTTTAACAGTCACTTGGATAGTGCTCTTAATGATAGGTTTTAACTTTGGGTCAGCTGCAAAGTAGTCTGAGAGTTGGCCTTGATTGCCTTTGTAAGTGCCTTCCAACTAAAACTCTTCTCTTCTCTTCTTCGATGCGCGGGTAGCGAGAGGGAGTGAGGGCCGGGGGAGGTGGGATGAGGGAGTGACGATGCGAGAGCTCTTAGTCGATTCTCTGATGGGCTCTGTCTGTCTTCTTCTTTCGCTTCTTCTCTTCTCTTCTCTTCTCTTCTCTTCTCTTCTCTTCTCTTCTCTTCTCTTCTCTTCTCTTCTCTTCTCTTCTCTTCTCTTCTCTTCTCAAGGTGAGAGGGATGTGTTTCCAACAGATTGCCGTATGGGAGATATAATTTTAATGGCTCACAGGATTAAAAGGCACCAGTCTCAAACAGATGGGTATCTTCCATTCAAAATCTGAATTCGAACAGGCAGTCTTTTATTGTTACAAATTACATGACTCAATTGAATTCTCACCAGCCAGCACATCTTTACCTTTCTCTCTGACAGGCCGGCAGTGTGATGAGTGTCCCAGTGGGTTTTACAAAAACCCAGGAAGCCCCACGGAGGGCTGTGCACCATGCCCCTGCAACAACAACATTGACATGACCGACCCAGAGTCCTGTAACAGAGTCACCGGGGAATGCATCAAGTGTTTGTACAACACCCATGGAGCACACTGCCAGTTCTGCAAACCCGGGTATTTTGGCTCAGCCCTTGCTCAGGACTGCCAAAGTAAGTGAACAACAGCACTGCAATTGCATGTTATCATTGAGAAAAGATTGAAACAAATTAGGCTATAGGGAGAAGTTAGCCCTTAGGGGGATGATAAAACTGAAGCAGGCAAATGGAGCAGTATATGAGAGTCCTGAATAAATTTCTACCCAGTGATACGTATAACTGCTAATATGGCATCTGTTAAATTCTGTTTGTCATCCAAGTCTCTCTAAATCTTATATGGAATACCACTCCTAGGAAATGACTGTGAACTGAAATCAGTATTAGCTGTCAGAAAAATAAATGTGCATTCTTCCCATTCAGGAAGGAATCAAAATTAAAGGAATCAAAGATAATCGAGAGCAATGCTGAGTTAGCCAGATGATCTCTTGCTGAGCTCCCTGCCTTCCCAGTTGTTTTGATGATATTATTAGAAATAGAGACTGTTCAGGCAGTTTAATAGACTGCATGAGGACACTGTCAATAACTCAGCATTTTGAGAGGAAAGGAAAGAGTGTAAGAACATGCAGGTCATAAGTTTCTTCACAAAGTTTCTCAAAGACCATTTTCACAAATGTGGCTGATTGAGAGTCTAATTTCTACAGGCCAGAAAAACAACTGTTTTCAAGAAGCTCTTTTTTTCTGGGATTCTCTGAAATATAGTAGAAACCAATTAATCAAAACGGTTTAGCAAGAATTTGGCTCCTCAAAAGGAAGGCTTCTTATGTTACTCAGCTTGCCATTAACTGGGGGTTCCCACACTGTCCAGTGCCTACTGTAAATCAGTTTTGCCTTATCCAACATATTTAACATTTCATTATAACAAGATTCAAAATTCACTACACCTTCATTTTTATGCCTGTATTAAAAGTAGTAAAAGCTCCCAGTAAGTTTGTTCAAAGCTATGTTTCAAGGCCAAGCTGTGCTTCATGTACAATTCTGATTTCCCATCAGCTATAGCAGCATCTGCTGTAGTAATTGTCCTTTTTTTTCTTTCAGTCTGCACATGCAATCTCACAGGTGTCCTCCCTGCCATGTGCCCAGGGAGGGACGCAGCCTGCCTGTGTGACCCGGCCACTGGTGCTTGCCCCTGCCTGCCCAACGTGGTGGGCACAACGTGCAACCAGTGTGTGCCTGGCTACTGGGACCTGGCTAGCGGAAAAGGATGTCAGCTCTGCGACTGTGAGACGAAAAACACCCAAAGCAACCAGTGCAACCAGGCAAGGAAGTTACTCTGCTCTCTGGGAACTGAGATGGTGACATTTTGGCCTGGCACAGTTGGGACCTGCCCCTATGAGAATGTTTTTCTGTCTTGCACCCTGAAAACAATGAGTCTTTGGAAATTTGCAGTTGTTGCAACCAGGCTTGGAGTCATTACATCAAATGTGCTGTTCTGGTACTGTGACTTCACTTGCAAGCAATTTCTCTTTGCTTGTGTGTTTCTTTGCAAAGTGGATTGTAGAAATAGAAGAGAAAATGATATATAGGAAAAAATGCCTCATAAACATACATACAGGGAAAGAGGAAGTCCAGGCTTGGGCCCAAGAGACTTGCATGTATTTTTTTAAGTGTTTCCTTTCATAAAGTAGCAGCTATTGCCATTGCATTAATCATGCATCGTCAATCAGACTGCTGGAGTATCTTTTCTCACCTTTAATTCCTGTGCACTGTCTAGAGCAAGAATGTAGAAAAAAATAAAACAATGCTGCAGAATAGAGAGCTAAAACTGCAGTCCCATGGAGAAAACTGCAATTTTGCTCTTGACTTCATAGCTCCAGGACCTTATGCCAAGCTCTTGCTGATATGCTTTCACATTTTCCCTTCAATATGCCTTCTGTTTGTTCTGGTTTATTTAGCGGATTTATTATTTTTCCCAGGAAATGTTGCTCATAACATGACAGAACTACACCACTACTGCTTTTCTGAGTTATACCAGTTATCAGAGCTGTAATTCCCTGCAGTTTAATTTTGCTGCTGAATTCCAAAATAAATTTTCTAGGGCAATGTGCATAGTATACCCTGGAGGTTTTCTTTTACAGCTAATATATCATGTAGTTAAAAGTTGAAATGTTAAGCTTTTTTTCAAGCAAAAATAAGACATTAATCTGTTTTGCAAAAGAAAAAAAATCCTGTTTCAGATAATAGTCGGAGGATGAGTTCTCAAAGATCATCTGTAGGCTGGACCATACAAAACTTTTCATATCAGTAAAGAAAAGCCAGCTCTCCATGCCCACTTTGTTTACATGACCTTCAGGAGGAATATGGGAAAAGTAGTTTATCATGTATAAACCATGTTGTTTGCAGAACATATGGAAGCTCTGTTGCTGCAGTCCCCATGCAGCTGTATGACAGAGCGAAAAAGTAACCCAGCAAATAATGTCTGTCCAGTCATTCTGTGTGGGCAGCTGTTTCATCCTGACCTGTCTTTACAGCTTACAGGCCAGTGTCCATGTAAGCCTGGCTATGGTGGAAGACGTTGTGACGAATGTGAGGAAAATTACTTTGGCAATCCCCAGGTGCACTGCATTTGTAAGTATTACTACGTGGGGACAACCAGATTAGAAATTGCTTCAAAAAGAACGTTTGGCTCGTACATTCATAGAGAAGACAGGACTTATATCTAGAGAAACAGACTTTAATACGTTTGAGTGTATGAGATGGATAAAATTGTTTATATTATTTATCAGTACTTTTCCCTCTGCAGTTATGATGTGAATATGGATGCAAGAGGTAAAGAAGAGACATTAGATATGTAGTCACCTTCACTCTACCTTGAACACTGGTTTCACCCTCTGCTATTTAGAAATGGCCTACACTAGCTGAAGGCTGCCATAATGTTGATCCATTGATCAACATTGATCGTTAATCAATGATTAATGTTGACCCAGCCTAGCAGGCTCAAACAGCAGCAGAGAGAACCAGTTTCTGTTTGCAGTGTTGAAGCACACAATCGTGTCTCCTGTATGTGCTACTCCTGCAGAGAAGGGACAACTGTGTGTGACTTGCTGTCCCTTTCCTGCAGCATGTGCGTGTAACCTGGAGGGAACCAGCCAGCCCCAGTGCGACAAAGCCACCGGCGCGTGCAACTGCCGTGCTGGTGTCACGGGGTGGTTCTGCAACCAGTGCGGCCGTGGCTTCGAGAAAGACTTTCCCACTTGCCGTCAGTGTCACCTGTGTTTTGATCAGTGGGACGCCGAAATTACTGCCCTCGCCCAGACTGTTCAAGGGCTAATGAGGTTTGCTGCAAGTCTGGAGGATAAAGTAGGACGAATGCCCAGCTGTGACATGCGCTTCAAAGCCTTTGAAGATGCCATTTCTGAAACTGAACGGATTTTGAAGCATCCTGTTCTTTCACTGGAGGCACTTGCAGGCATCAAGGATTTTCATGGCTACGTTCAGTAAGAGTTGGCTGCCACATTAAAACCTCTTGGCTAAGAAAGCAATCTTCCCCCAAACTTCACCAGCCTTACCTTTCCTTACCCTTACATTCAAATCCTGTTTCTGATCAGCACACAGATGTTGGAGTGCGAAGTCACCGTTTCCAACAGATCTGTGAACAAAATAATCTTTATATATAATATTCCCCCACCCCAGGCATGTACTTAAATGTGGCAATTTTCCATTTCCTAAAAGATTCCTAAATAAGCCATTACAAGTAAATTTCTGGTCATTCAGAAATTTATCTCTTGTCATCTAAAATATTGTGTATCTCAACTGTAGTTTAAGAACATTTCAATCTGATTACTGAAAACTGCCATTTCCCTTGTAGAGAAAAAGTTGCACAAATGGGTCCCCTTCCTAGAATGCTATATGAATTTCCCGACCTTAATGAGAACATTGAAGATATTAGGGAAGAAGCTGACCTTGTCTACGAACTTCTACAACAGAAAAGACATCTGCATCACAGTTTTCATTACTTGAACCTCAAAGGTAAGTCAGCCAGTAATTCACTGGAATAAGTAAACATATTCCATGAAATTTCACAATGTTTTGAACCATTGAACCACACATTTCAAAGATCCCTAGATTTTAGTTCCATACAGTAGAGAAAAAATTCAAATACTAAGAACATCGTTATACTAATTTCCAGACTCTCTTTTGTCGTAAAATGCCATGACTTCTAGAATCATAAATTTCAGATGCATGCACCAGGGTCATCTCAGTCAAAAATCCCATGAGTCTTGATGTTTACATCAGGATTTCAAGGCCACCCAGTTTCATATTATAGACTCACAAATCATACAGTAGATGAGCAAAAGATTTTTTTTCACTGCTTCTGACTCCTATTGCTCTTAGCAATACTTAAAAAATGTACAGCAATAGTTTGTTTAATTAAAGCAGAGAGTCATAGTGCAGCTTCTCAGTGTTCCCATGGGAAAATGCAGGACTTTATGTGGTAAGGAACTCGCTCTCCATCATCAAAAAAGAACTGAGTTGTTTGACATTTTTTAAATAATTACACCGTCTCTGCTAATGGCAGTAATGACAGTGTCACAGGCTGAATTCTGGAGAAAGATGGGAATGTATCAGTCAGGGATCTTGAGCAGATCATCCACAACGGCAGATTTTTGTCAGTGTACACTCTGCCAAATGACCAAAGAGATGGCTGCCAAGACATGAATCCCCAGAAGACATGGTAAGCACTGCAGAAGACACCAGCTACAGGCAGTGCACCCCCACTTTGAGTTCCTCTGTGTTTTGTTTAAGCAAGAAGAAAATTGGACTAAAAAAGATCGAATAAAATGAAGGAAAGGTCAATGGAATGTAAATCCAAGGGAAAGGAAGAGGGAAAAAGAGGGATTAATGAAGATTTAGGGCTCCCTGCACTGTTATGCTTGGCAGTGCCCCCAGGACCAGCTCCCCCCCTCGGATCCTGCACGAGAGGTCAGCAGCTCTCCCAGGCACCAAGTCCCATTTTGATCGGGTCTTGTGCTGACTCTGAGGAAAGCAGGAAGGCAAAGAGACAATAAATCCCAATGAGATCAGTGGATGCACAGCTGAAGCATCCACACTGCTCTCTGGTCATGTTCCAGTTCCACTTTAGCTTTTGGCCTCCAGAGGCAGATAAACAGCCCTATAAAAAGCACACGGGGGTGTGGGGAGGGGAAGACCTTGAATATAAGTTGAATTGCTGGTTGGAACCACAAATATTCATTGGTCCTGCTACCAAACATCTAGCAGCACAGAAACTACTTTTCCCTCAAGACGACCGTCTTCCCTGATGTCTGGGAGAAAGCCTGGTTCCCTCTTCCTTTCTTCATTCCACAACCAGTAGCAAATCCTAGCAATGGCTCTGCCTGCTTTGTCCTGACTGAAGTAAGTGGGGTAGAGCAGGATGGAGGACATGCCATGTACCCCATCTGGGGCACATTTGACACCTGTGCTCTAGACACACATGGGAAATGGGCTCCCACCTACCTCTCCTTGTGATCAAGTGAAACGAGGTCAGGACTCTTCCTGAGCTCCTCATGAGCATATACTCAGCTGCCTGACCTGGAAACGTCAATATCTAATGATGAATTAAAATCCCTGAAAAAAAAACAAAACGCACACGTCCTTAAAAGAAGGCTTGCAGCTTATGAAATCTCATTAAATTACCTCCTAAAGCCTTGGCCCCTGGCTTTTCAGCCACGGTGGCATGGTAGTGTGGTGAGTGTGCCTTCCTAGGCTGTTAATCAAGCTATGTTTAACATAAAGGAACTTGGAAACTCTACAGCTCCATCACAAACCAAGCATGAAAAATGTATTTGGGCCACTTAATGAAGAGCTGAACCACTGTAAAATATTCCTGCAATGGAAATGTTGCATAGAAAACAGCCGCATGCTTAGATATGGAGTCACAGCAGCCCCTTGCCAGGTATTTCGTATTAGTATCTAACTTTAAACTGTACGTTGTTTCCAAGAGTTACGAGATAAAACAAACAGCTCTGCTTCCACATAGTAATTAAACATTGGTCAGCTTCAGCCAAAGCAAGGCCAAGAGCTTTAGTGCCTGGTAGAAAGCAGTCAGGACTTGATGAGAGTCTTCTTACTGACTTCAACCAGTAACTGCGCCATTATCAGCACAGAGGGATGCTAGTCAATGACCTCTCATGCTTTTTCAGTGCTGACACATCAGTTCTGGCTCATTGCACATCCTTCTGCATGGGGATGTGCAGAAATCTTTGGGTTCCCTGGAGATCTGGGAAGCCTTGATAGCAGCAACTTCAAATTGTGAGTTTCACAAAAGGCCTGAGTCCTTTCTTTAGGCTAAAAAATGATTTAAAAAATCATTAAAAAAAAAAAAAAAAAGAATATTCTCCATGCCTTTTGAGTCTCTCCTAGAGAAAAAGCTTACACTAAGTAAACAAGAAAATGCTTGTTTCTTGGCTTACAGGCTTATCGTGGAAATGCATTTTTTTTTTAACACATCAGTCCTGCAACTGAATTTTTCCAGAGCCAAAGAAAACTCATAAATTCCCATTTGCAATCTACATTTTGGGCTTAGTTAAGCTGACTGTTTAACTTTTGGGTACTATGCTGAACAAGGAGAGGACAAATGCTTTCCTGAGGCACAGATCCAGTGCATTTGCATCTATTTTAGAAGGCTTTATGGGTATCAATTCCTGTTTGGTAGCTGGCTGAGTAAAGGATTTAAAAATATGCCCGAGGAAATCACAGTTCCTGTCCCTCCCTGCTGTCATCAGTGTCATCACACATCAACCACCAGTGACACAGACTTAATTATTTGTCATTCACCATTTGTCTAGAATTCAAGTAAATGCATGAATTAAATGCCACCAAAATACATTTCATACTAACCACTATTCCTATTGCTGTAGAGGCCATCAGCAACATTAGGAAACACTTAGAAATGTCATTGCTGGCAGAAGAGAAAAGCAGTGGGACAACCCCAGTCATAAGATACTCGGAGTGCACCAGGAACAGCACGCTCACTGTGATGGGCCAGCAGGCCTTGAAAGGAAGCAATGTGCTGGAGCAGCTCAAGATGATCAAGATCCCTGACATCCAAAACTTAAATGAAAAGGTAAGCGCTGTGGGTTTTTAACAGGAAATAAATAAAACCAGCTTTTTTTTTTTTTTTTCTTTTTTTGATGCTGCTATTAGTTTTTGCTTTAAAAGGGTGGTTACATGCATTTTAAATCTGGAAAAGGCCACTTTCCTGGCACAGGCATTCAGTCACGTCAGCAACAGCTGTACCTCTCAGCTGTGGTTGCTACCACCCTTCTGGAAGCTACTGCTCCCAGGGCAAGCCCACCAGGAGGGACTGTTTCTAATCTCAAGCACTTTCTAGTCTCAAGAGGACTTCCATGTAAATTCTAAAAAATTAACACCAATCTCCACCATCAGTGGCTTAATCTAAGCAGAGCAGCTTTGCCCTGGAGTGGATGAGGAATGTTCACTTGTCCTTTGCAGCACCTGTGGGACGGGAAGGCCAGAAACCTTCTGCTGGGCAGCAATGAATACCTAACAGCATCCATAGCCAACACTGACATCTGGCAGAGCACATCCACCTCAGCCTTTAGTCTTCACTGACATCTGTGTCAAAATACGTAGAGGCCTAGGCATGGTACTGTGCTCTGTGAGACGTGATCTGGGTCCTTCAGAACAAACAGGATGGGTTTGGATGCCCCATGGACTGGATATGGCCAGGGGACAGTTTCAGTAGTTTTGCCATAGAGTGAAACAAAGCTCTACATATAACACAAAGAGCCCACAAAATGGCTCCTACAAGGAGGAGGTTGGAGCTGGGGGTGCCATTGGGAAGGGAGTCCTGTTACAGTCCGTGAGCCTGTCTTTGGAGATATTAAACCGTGTGTTTCAGGGAAAATCCCATGCAATGTTCAACGTTCACATTATGCCCAACATCCTTCCCACAGGAGGTTATTTCAGATGCCCAGAGGAGTCCTGACATGAACATCTTCTTTATTTCAGATCTGCGGGGTGCCAGGGAACCTGCCCTGTGCTGCAGCAGCCTGTGGTGGTGGCCCAAACTGCAGCGGAGCTCTTCCCCTCTCCTCCTCAGCCTTCAGGAAGGCTGAGGAGACTGCTGTCCTGTTAACCAACTTGACTACTCAGCTACGGGAACCTGAGAATCAGGTACACATATCAAACTTATATTTGTTCAATGCAATGGGCGGAGGATGGGAAACAGGGCATTCCTCTCCTGGGAAATATCATGCATGAGCGGTGTCCTATCCATAAGTCCACAGTTATGCTAAAACCCTCAAAACCCAGGGAGTTTTGTGCTTCCCACAGCATTGCTGTCTTTGCAAAGTAAGCTCTTCCTCTGCTCTCCCTGGATGCTTTGTCACATTTGGGGGGGAAAAGCTGTTCCTGGGAATCAGAAAAGGGTAATTTGCTTCTAGAACTTACAATCAGAGAGGGAGCTAAGGATGGGGGTCCTGCCACCTCCCTTCACAGGGATGGAGTTGGCTACATCACAGCCAGTCACCCACGCTCCTTTTATAATCAGTGGAAATTGTCAGACAACTCCATCTTCATTTTCACCATACCAGCTATATGTCTGTCGTTGCCTGAAGGTACTGGTTTTCTGTTTTATTTTTTTCACTCTGCAAGAACAGCTGGCTTAGATTTGGATGGGTGAATTGTGGATAGCTAAATTGAGCAAAGAGGTAGTAGTAAGTCCCAAATCTACAAAAACTCAGCTGCTTCTTGGACAAAGAGCAGTGATCTAGTCATGGACTCCATCCCAGCACAATAGATGTATCATGGGTCAGTGCCGTGAGTATTAGAGGCAGTCCCACCAAACAACTATGTCTATCAATGCCTTCCTCCTCCTCACAGCTTCCAAGATCTCATGGGTCATGGTGTCCTGTGCCTATGGAAGTTGGTAGCATGAGGCTAGTGTTGTCTATAATTTTATTGGGAAAGGTTGAAATGGAGCCCTTTGTCAGTAGCCTGAGCACGGCCCACGTTTATTGCATTGATATTATTACTCTGCATATCATTAAGCTCAATTTATACAGCTTCATTTTACTATTATTATGGTTGCCATTAAGGAATTACTGCAGATAATTTCAAGCTGAAGCTTTTCTGCCTCCCCCCCCCCCCCCCAATGTTTATAAGGGCATCGAGTATTTGGCTGCTCCACTTTACTACAGAGGAACACTGAAAATAACTCAAAGCGTGTCCAATGCACATGTGCAAAGGAAGCAAAACAGACAAGTCCCCAGATGACAACGAAGACAGTTTGTTCTCATTAACAATCAGAGAGAACGCCAGTTACAGTGATAGGCAAAAACCATTTTCCAACAGAAACATCATTCTGCTGCGGCTTTGTCCCCTCCCTGCAGGGTGTCTGGGCATCCATTTCCTCCTTCTAGAGTCCACACGACATTGCTCTGCAGCTATCAGGGGGAGAAATGAGCCATCAGGGCACACACTGAGGCCCCAAAACATGCAGGGACAGCAGTGAAGTAAAAACATCATTGTTTTTCTTGCTGCCTAAGGTAACAGTGAATCTCTTCCCTCCATCCCTGTGCATTTCCTTAAGAGTAAAGCACAGCCCCCAACAAAGCAAAATACTGTTGGAGTTTGGTAATTAAGCTAATTACTAACTAAAGATCAGTTAAATAATCAAATATACTAATTTAATGGCAAAATTTAATTTTAAAAGACAATCATTCATTCTAGCTTTTTTACTTGTGTCATTTTAAGCACATTTTTAGCAGTAATTCGTGTGAAAAGGCAAATAAAATTATATGCTTTTTCTGTACTGAATCTGATTGATGACACAGTGCAATACTGCAACAGAAAATAAGTCAGCACCTTCTTTTAGAAACAGAAGTGGTTGTCTTTTAGTTTTTTTCTAAGGCCAAAGGCCATGATGTAACAGCTTCCAGAGCTCCCCAAAGTGGTCTCCTACTACAGATTTTTCAAAAGCTCGACAAGTGACTCCAGCTGAGGCTTGTATCAAAAGTATCTGTCAGAGCTCAACTTGCCAAGCAATGATATACAGCCTCCAGAAATTGGCACTGCTGTTTCTGATAGTATTTCCAGGTTGAAAGCATCAGAAAGATGGCAGAAGACACCAAGCTGAAAGGTTCGCTGTTTAATGGGGAACTGGAGAGAGCTAAGAACCAGATTGAAGTTGACCAAGAAATCACAAAGGAGTTCATCAAAAAAGTGAAAGACTTCTTGATAGGTAAACATGCAAGGAAAGTTCCTTCTGAGTCTATATATATATATGTATATATATTTCAATGTAATGTTAACATAACAGATGGCTAGAAAGTGGTCTAGCTGCAGGCATATCAAATTTCTTGTCTACGTCCTGATCTGTGCATCTTTTTTTGATTGTGGTGTTCCTTTTTCCCAGATGATGGTATTTTGTACTAATTTTCCCATAGATTGCTATGTTCTGATTGTCATCTTTTATTAATTTACTTAATTTGAAGCAGGCAAGTAATTCCCTCGGTTCCTGGTTCATCTGAGAAAAGGTCCGCTAATGTAATTTCATACAACATATAACATCCAGGCATCTTCAATGCACCCTCAAATTGTTATTCCACCCTCTTCTTCCCGGCCCATAAATAGAGGCTCTCTGTAGGGAGCGTGGGAATTAGGACACAAAATGACAAACTGCTCCATCTTCTCCGTAAAACTGTAACTTGAGGAATCAAAGGATTCTGGTAGGACTTCAGCCCTCACAAAAAACAAAAACCAAAAAAAAAAAAAAAAAACAAAAACAAAAACAATACATGCCCTAAAACTTTTTCCACCCTCACAATTGCAGAAATGTCTTTTACCAGACACACATAAAAGGAGTTCAACTGGGTTAGTATAATCTCTTGAATGTAGCTGATCTCATAATTCTCTAAGGACTGCATGTTGGCATTCCTTTGGCATTCATACCTCCATATCCAAACAGCAGCGAGGGAGTGAGGGCAGAGGACTTCCTTTGTTCAGGAACATTGAAGTTATTTTTCTGAATTTGAAGGAAAAAGTCAATTTAAGTCCTTAGTGGACTCGTATTTTTATTTGGTTGCAACTCAGAATTTCATCTTTGTCTCTTCTTTTATGTGTCTTAGAAGACATATGGTATTTACTAATAATTGTAAAGGATTTATTCATCAATTTTTGGTTTGTAAATTGAAGTTTCTGCACCATAGCAGCTAAAATGCGTACAATTACATCAAAGCTGCTGTACTCTACAGCAACGGGCATAGTGGTTTTAGATTAATGCATTCTGACAGAAGATAGTTCTCAGAAATACTTGCCTGGTTGCACAGTAACTGCCTTTTATTTAATTCTTGGGAAGTTACTTTGGAGAGTTAGCACAAACGTAGCATGTTTCAACTGCCTTATCACCTCAGGTCTTGTCTACAAGGGGAAGGGAGCAGAAAGCAGAAGTGATGATGGGACTTTGCAAGGCGTTAGCTACTCAAACCCTGGGTACCCGCACCTCTTAGCGCAGTTTGTATTGGGGTGAGAGCATTTGGAAGAGGGGTTGTTAAAGTATGTTTTTCCTACTGTAAATTCCCATCCCATCTCAGTCTGTCCCAAATTCCCCTCTGCAGCTGAGCTTTCCTCATTAAGCAGCGGAGGAACCACTTTCTGAGCGCTGTGGTAACTCCAGGGAAGGGATTACTCCCACCAGCTGGCTTGGAAAGCTTCCTTCACACCCCGGTCTCCCCAGCGCCTCTTTGATCTGGGGACCGAGGGAGAAATGGGCTCTGACACATCTGGCTGTGCCTCATGCCGACTTAAAACCTTCCATGGGTTCAGTTCTGCATCAGAATTTTAATAACCCAGTTCAAAGTGGATTCAAATCCTCAGCTCAGTCAGCTCTGACAACACCAACAGCAGTACCTGGAAGCGTTAATATTAAATCGCAAAATGTCGGAGATAATTCTCTTACCCCCTTGCTGTGCTTGTCAGCTTTATTCTGCCACATAACTCGATGTCTAGGCAACCCTAACGATACTTTACATTTCGCTGGGAGGAAGCCTCCACTTCAAACCATCCCAAGCTCAGTTTCTGTTGCAGATGAGAGCGCGCCTCCGGAAGACATTGAGAAGGTGGCGAGTTACGTCCTGGAAATCAACCTGCCCCTGACTCCACGAGAGCTAACAAGCATGCTTGGCAAAATCCAAAGCATTATGGCCCACTGTCAGAAGTATAAACTGAACGCAAATAAGAGAAACAGGAAAATGGAAGCGGCTCAGACACTGCTGGGGGAGGCACAAGATGCTGAGTGAGTAGGCTGACTCCAGCACTGCATGCTGAAGGACTGCTCCGTACCCCAGGCACTCAGTGTCCTGGGAACTCTGGAGGGAAAGTCCAGATTTCAGCACATTTCAGATAGCCATTTTGCAGCAGCAAGCAGCCATGTTGGCCTGGGCTGAAGGATCTGATCTGCTGCAAGAGGTGGCAGCTCCCCAGGACTCCTGGTCCTGCCTGCTGAATGCAAAGGACCGAGGCAGCTACACTTCCATGTGGGTCATTACACCTGGTTCACTGGGAGGCTTAAATATGGGTGAGGAAGAAGAGCCAGAACTGGGGAGGGAGGAAACATGTTCACCTCATAAGTGAGCTTTCCTTACCAGCATTGCACTCCCACACAAGGCCCTTTACTGGCGTTGTGCTTTGCCAGCTAAATCACACTTTTAACAGCTGCTGGTGGACTTGAGGGAACATTTCTGCCCGTGAGCATGGGTGCGTTTGCAACGTGTACTTGCTTTGCCTCCTCTCCACACCACAATACTACACACACTTTTTTTTTTTTTTCCTTTTTCAGCAAAGCAGCTAAAGCTCTTCCACCTGTGCGTGACATTAATGAGAAACTAAAAAATGCTGTGAGCTCCCAAGGACGCTCCAAAAACACCTTCATAAAGTTGAATGAAGAAATAAAAGGAATCAGAACACAAATCTCACAGGTATCTTGCTTTAAATCTTTTAATTTATTTGCAACACACATCTTAGAAAAAGATGGTTCATCTCAAATTTTCCTCAACGTATATGTAAAAATAAATAAAACCAGAATGTGTCTCAGATACAATTTCAGTACCACAACGTATAAGGGTCTCCTCTTGTTTATCAGTTGCCATTCACCTCCTTCATTACCAAGCCTCCTTCTGTTCTAGGCTGAGAACCAACTCAACAAGACAGGAGATGAACTCAATGACTTTTCAGCAAAACAGTCCAAGGTGGAAGGTGGAATCGCCACGTTGAGGACGAAAATGCTGATGAACAGGAATCAAGCTACGAATGCAAGAGCAGGGGCAGAAGCAGCATTCAAGCGAGCTCAGAAAATTGACAACGTAAGCCATTCTGCCACAGATTAAAGGAAAAAAGGGTTGCGTATATGTTTGATAGTATTTTTGATTCAAAAGTGTAATTGTGCTACCCTGCTCTCCTCAAAACTCTAAGCTTTCCGTATGCCACACAGTGTGCAATCCCCAGGTTAAGTCTAATTTCCTTATTGCTTTAAGGTTTCTAGAGGTTCTCCAAACTTCTGTTTGCTTGAATGAAAGAAAACACACACATTGCTCTAGCTACTCTGTGACATTCTTCCTCGCACTGTGTATAAGACTCGTAGTCACCATGGGCACCAGTAAACACAACAGAGCAAATCACAAAACCAAATATTAAAATATGTGAGCGATGGAGGCAGTCTGGCCATTCATCTTGTGCTGATCTCCTTCAGGAGAAAAAATATGGTGGGAGTTATGTGGAGGTTGTGGCTGGCTGCTGCTCCATAGCTCCAGTTTTTGAGGCAGCTGAAAATTTACTAAAATGCTGTGTGACAAGAACCAGGTACCCACAGCTCTGAAGGGAGAGCACACCTACGTGGCCAGGTTATAAGAAATGCAGTAGATATCTAAACTGCAGCCTCCAAGGCACCCTAAATCAGCATGGAATGGAGGTAGCCAGTCAATATCCCTACACCCAAAATTGTTTAAAAAATCGATGCTACAGGTAATTCATTCCATTTGATTCAAGCTTCATGGAAAATAAAAGAAATCTACAGAAAAGGCCTATCAAAAGAAGTAGTAACGGCATAAGTTTTAAAAATCTTACACTGTATTTTCTTTACATCCTCACCCTTCATTGACACTCTAGACTGCTCCACTGGCAGTGTGTTTAATCAAATTATACCTGGTTTTGCAAAGCACTGTTCAATGTACACTTATTATGGATTTCTTTTTTTTTTTTTCCCCTTTAAATTTAAGAGATTAAGTTTGGTTCAAACAGGATATTCATATTCCAAAACTGTCTAAAAATCACCTTGAATATGACAGGTTAATTATGAGGTACTTCTAAACCACGAAATGGCTTTTTGTTACAGGAATTTGCTGCCGTTAAAAGGAAGTACACTGTTCTTCAAGACAGACTGAAAGCCAAAGGGCCTCCTAAAGCAACTCTAGCAAAAGTGAAGCAGCTGAAAGAAGAAGCGGAAAAACTGGCTGAAGAGATTGAAAAAAAAATTAGAAGAGTAACAGGTGGTGTTCTCCCTTTCATAGTGAGCAGCAGAAATTGTGGAACTTTAACTGAAAGCCATTCTGAGATACCAGCAGACTAGATTCACCTGAAATTGGGTTTAAAACAATTTAGCTAGTGAAAATCCCTGCTTGAAGCTTCTCAGTTTCCAAGTGGTTGATTTGGATTGGCTTATGTACATTTTCTGACATACATTGGTTGCTATAAGCAGAGGTCAAGAGGTGTGCACAGAGGGACTTGCAGTGATTTGACTCAGGCAGTGGAAAACTAGGACAAGCACAAAATCTGTGCCACCTGTCCCAGGCTCTCAGATGGGCTCTGAAAAACTTAGCTGCAGCTTTAGCTGGGAGCTTTGATTTATGTCCTTGCTTTGTGCATTTGGGCCTTCAATCCTTCCTCTGCATTCTGCCTTTTCTTACTTGACCGGACTGATGACTTATGTTACAGAGAGCTGCATGGAGCTGTCTTTCCATCAGAAAAGAGAAGGCACACATGCATGTGCAGACCAAATCACTGCATCTTGGGTGTCAGTTTAACCCCCCTGGCCTCAATTCCTTGATTTGATCACAAAACGTCTGGGCAGACAGGTAACTTTGTCCGTCCAGCTTTGCCTGAGAAGGAAAACATTGAAAAAGTTTTGATTTTAGGTCAGGGGGTCATCTGTGGCTAACACTGAGGGGCCAGCATGTGTCAGGATCTGGCCTATTAGCACCCTGCCCCTCCTGGTGGGTGACGGTCTGAGACCTGCAGGAAGGCAAACTGCCAGTATGGCTCATGTAATTGCACGGGGGAGCTAATTCTGCTTGTAGTGAAGGTCTGGGCAACTCCATTGGGAATCCTTCAGCATAGGACGCTGCTCAACATCCAAAACCTCCACTTAACATCAGCAGAACTGAAGCAGAAATTGCATCCTGGGAGCAAATCCTTCAGGGCAGGAGCTGAATAAATATTTTGAGCAGATACTTTGAGAAGAAGCATTAAAAGCACTCCAGTCTCTCCAAACACCCAGGTGATAGATGAATTGGAAACGGGCAGTGAATAATGTGTTGTTGACTCGCTAACAGTATGTTCGCATCGGTGTAGCTTCACAGGGACCAGCAAAAAAACAGTAAAGGAGGACGACCTAAGGCCATTGCATCCAATTTTTCTAGGCTTTACACACATTGATGGACATGCTGTTCCTCTCAGTGTTTCCATTTAAACAACTGCTTTAAGAGCTCCATGTCCTGCCCCATCCTAGCTGATGGACAAAAGCACGTGCTGAGAAAAAGCTGTTTTAAGGCTGTCCTGTTTCTCTTGCTGTCCAGAAGCCAGGCTCTTCCCTCCAGTTGCATATATAACATTCCCCATTTGCAATGGGCTTGCTGCCTCCAGAACTGCTGGGAAAAGGAGCACAGTTAATCCCTGGATTTTACTTACACAATAAATATGTGTATCACTGCATGTCACTTTGCTCTTACAGATTTGGAGAAGAAGCTTCAGGACCTGAATCAAACCAAGCAAGACAAGGCAGAGCAACTCAGACAACTCGAGGAGCAAGTGATAGCCATCACAAATGAAATTACAGAGCAGGAAAGCAAGTATGCAACATGCAAAAGCTAAGGGCTGAGCAGACCATGAGGTAAAGTGCAACTGAGTCACCTCCTGAGCACGGGGTGGCTGTCCTCTGTACATAAATCTGAAGGTGTATGCAGTATTTTGGCACAGGGAATAATGTAACTTTCTCTTGATTTTTTAACCTGGTTGGGTACATATGGGAAGAGGAAATACCTTTTAATAAAACACCTGATGAAGTAATCAGGATGCTGTCCTGGAGGGATCTCAAAACCACACTGCTGCCACAGCCTGGGACTTCTCATTGCCTGGGGTGGGAATGGAAAAGGGGGATTTCTAAGAGACCTCCAGCCAAGTGCCTCAAAGACAGCCTCCCAACACCCTCAGTCTCACTGCTGAACCCCACAACACCCTGGGGCTGCATGGGGACGGCGATGGGGCCACACAGATCATAGGATCACAGATTCACTGAGGCTGGAAAGCCCTCCAAGATCATCTGGCCCAACCACCCCCTACCACCAGTGTCACCCACTAAAACATGCCCCTAAGCACCACTTATGATGGGCTTCTGCAGCCATCCCTGCTGACAGCCAGCATCTCCCCCACGGTCCCACCTCTCCCCGATCCCCATCGCCTTGCTGAGGCAGATCAGGGATCCCCAGCAACCCCTGACCATGAGGGGGTCCCCAAATATTCGCCAAAACCACTCAGTGCTGGGCCACCTGAAGAGGTGTGTGACAGGGAGCAAAGTCCCCAGTGCCCACTGGATGGCAGTGCACAGATGCTCAATACTGAAATCAGCTCCAACCTCGCTTCCCCTCCTGCCATACCTCCTTTCTGTGCGTTCAGCGAGGGGTTGCCCACGATTTTCATCAATGCAGCCCCCACACGGTGCTGCACAGGAGTCAGGGTTCACACCGCTGTGTCTTCTAGCCACACACAACACCACAGGATTTGTCCTAAATTTTAGTTTAGAACTTGTGTTTCATATAATGAGGAGGCTGGGGATAGGTGAATACTACAGGAGGGCTGGGGTTTTAAAAAGACCGGGAGGAGGAAAACCTCCATTTCGAAATCCTGCCCTGCAGAGTAACGCTGGCTCTTCCTCATAAAAATGAGTCACCTTGTCCCCTTCTGGCCTGCCTGACACCAGCCCCAGAGAGTCCAGAGGCAGCCCTGTGCCAGCAGCACGTTCAGAACAAGCCTTACCTGAGGGCAACCTCGTGTTGATCCATCAGAGATAAAACTTCCACAGTTAGGGGAGCCAAAGCAGCGCCTGCACGTGGTGGGGGGCTCGGCTGGGAGCAGATCTCAGGGATGATCCCGGAGCTCCAAGCAGTGCGTGCTTGCCACGTGCACTACCCGTGTAGCAGCTCCTGCTGTGAAAATGGTGGGGTCAAATTAAAACCTTGATATAATCTAGCAACTGCACCTGGATGCAGGTGTGTGCAGAATTTGTGCTTTACCTTTCTTTTTCCTGAATTTTAGCACTTTAAAAAAATCACCTGTGAGGTGCAAGGTTTCTCTGCAAGTCCCTAGGCTGTAATCAGACGAGCGTATGACAGATTGACTTTGCCATAATTAAAGGGAGCACCTCCACCAGCCAGAGGGCACAGCTCAGCTAGCTGCTCCCGTGAAGGCCTCCAGGTAATGCCAGGGAAGGAGCCTGGATTTCCTGCAGGTTTGTGTGGCTGCCACACTGCACCTGAGCAAGGCAAGCTGGAGCTCTCACATTAAAATTTCAATTGTGTATAAAACAAAAGTGCTTCATTCACGGCTTCAAAAATCTGAATTCACAAGCAGAAAGCTGACGAATTTCCTCCTAAAATGCCACTGCTGGCTGGGCTGCTCAGGGAGGTAGTTGCCACACGGCTGCCAGGATGAAATGTCCTTGAACACAAGGCAGTAAAACAGGCCTGGAGAGGAAAGGTATCCGTGGGAGGAACAGAAATTGCTGGGAGAAAAGCAGGAATGGAAAGGAAAAAGCCTGCATGGAGTCCCAGCTGTGTGCTCAGAGCACACCAACCAAGCAGGATGGGTTGCCACAGGCCACCAGGTCCATTTGTGGCAACTTCTGAGGTCTAAAACTGTGTAGCATTCCCCGCTGGAAGTGGCACAAAACCTTTTAAGGTGTTTTTGAAAAGTCAATCTGTGTGAAAATGCTTGATCTGGATCAAAACCACTTGTTTGTAGTTCTCCCTCCCAGTTCTCTTTCTTGTGGATAGAGGTGGCTTCCAAAAACTGTTTATTGAAAAAAATAATAATGAAAAAGGGATCGTCTTACACAGCATTTTGACTTCAGTGATATTAAGCACAATACAAACAACATTTAACCAATGCCACATACGATCAGAGACATTTAATCAAATATTTCACCAGCTCTGTTTGCTGGGCGTTCAACCACTGCGGTGGTACAAGAGAACAGGCGGTAAATCGGGTCCCACTGAGGTCAGAGACAACTCCGAACTTGGTTCTTGGAGGAAACTTGCAGCCACACAGAAGCACAACACCAGCAATGCCAGCAGCCTGACCACAGCACGAAGTGCTCCACAGAGCCAGCTGAGCCCATTTAGATTCAGGGGAGGACAGCACTTCTGCAAGACTGAGAACAAGAATAAGGAGGAGAATATTTCAATAAAATAAAAAAAAAAAAAAAAAAAAAAAGAAAAAGAAAAAATATGGGACAGAGAAGAACCCAGTGGAAGTGAAACATGCTGCTGTGGCACATGCACAGGGAGGATGCTGCGGAGCACCGCTGCCTTTCTGCTGTTTACTGGTGCAGCTCGCCAACCACAAGCAGGCTAAAACATTTCTTCTGAGTAGGACAAACAGATTTGTTGTATTGACACCTAAATGCAAAGCCAAGCTGTGAGTTACATGAGAGGATTGTGAAATTCTGTGAGTTTTGTGAGTTCAAAAGACCACATTGCAGAAGAAGTTTAGAATAACAATACCTGCCCGGGCAGCTAGAATGGTTTAATTTCCTGGGCATCTTTAATGAAACTCAGCCACCGCTTCTTCAGCTGAGGGCCCTGGGTTATGTTTCGGACGTGGTGTTTAACCTTTAGGGCAAGTCGCTCGCTATCTCTCTGTTTCTGCTTACCCATCTGTAAAACGAGGGCGAGCATATTTACCCAGCGGCAGGGTTTTGTGGCACACACAGCCCGCCGCGTGGTTCCATTCAGGGACCGCAAACAGCGAGGGCAAAGTGTTCCCGAGGCACCCCGGTGCCTGGTGAAGGTTTACACACCAGCTCACGTGCTACGTGTGGGCTACAAAACTCACGCAGACTGACTCGGGCACCCATTTTGGCGTGTGCCGAGCCAGGGCTGTGCTTTGGAGACCTCCATTTCCCACCTCCACGCCGGCTTCTCTGTTTATCTGAGAGCAGCAGGAGGGCAAACGCAGGCAGATGAAACCCCACTGAAACACCAAACTGCTTGGTTCGCCCCAACATCTCCATCCCAGCACCACAGCGGTGCCTCAACCTAATGGCAAACGGGCTGGTGGCCCCTCGGGCTGCTCGGTGGCCATCGAGCGCCGCATGCGGTGGCTGTGGCCCTTCACCTCGCCACGCAGGGTGGCCCCCTCCAACCACCCTTACGGGGTGCTGAGCCCCCCCAGCACCCCCTGAAGGGCTGGGGACCCCGGTGTGGAGGCAGAACGGGGCCGAGCACCCCCAACCCCACAGCGCTGCCCCACATCAAGCCCGTCCCGCTCGCCCCGTCGGTGGTGCCCGCTCCATCGGGGGGTCCTGGGGGGGGTTCTGGGGAGGGTCCCCCTCGCCCTAAGCGCTCCCCCCGGGCTTCCCCTTTCCCCGCAGCCCTGGCAGCAGCGGCGAGAGGGGAAGGGAAGGGGCCGGGCCGGGAGCTCGGCGGGGAGGGGACGAGGGGGAGGGCCGGGGGGGGCCGCCCGGCGGCTCGGAGCCGCTCCCGGGGAGCCGCGGCGCCTGCGTGGAGCCCGGTGGCGGCGGGGGAAGCTTCCGGAGCGGGGGTCCGGTCCCGTCCCGTCCCGTCCCCTCCTGTCCCATCCCGTCCCGTCCCGACCCGACCCGACCCGTCGGTGCTCGCCATGGGGCTCCTCCCGCTCTACCTCGGTAACCACCGCCCGGCCCCGCTCCCACCGCCGTCGGGGCAGGGGGCTGCGGGCTCGGCTTCACCGCGTGTCCCCCCTTCTTCTTCTTCTCCTTCTCCTTCTCTCCCTTCTCCCCGTGTCTCCCACCCCCCGGCCCCGCAGCGCTGTGGGTGGCGGCGGCTCAGGAGCCCGAGTACAGCTCCGGCTGCGCCGAGGGCAGCTGCTACCCGGCCACCGGCGACCTCCTCATCGGCCGCGCCGCCCGCCTCTCCGCCTCCTCCACGTGTGGCCTCCGGCAGCCCGAGCCCTACTGCATCGTCAGCCACCTCCAGGTGAGCCCCCCGACGGCGGGGTTGGGTGCCCGGGGACCGGCCGGAGGCACCGAGCGACCCCCGGAGCCCCCCGAGCCCCGACGGGGAGGGGGACGCGGCGGGGACGGGGCCGCGTTTGGGGGAGCCCCCCCGGGGCTTAACGGGGAAGAAACCCCGGGGTACGTCCCCTTAACACTCGGTGTAAGTTTAATTAACACTCGGGGTAGGTTCAATTAATGCTCGGGGGGGGGTTTGCAGCCTTAACGCGGAGCCGTCTAGACAGCTTCCTGATGGCAAGTGGTGTGTAGGAGCCGGTCGTAATGGCTTGGCGGCTGTCCTCATAATATAATCACATCTGGATGGTCTCCGGGCGAAAGCAGGCAGATCGGCTCGGCTGGTGGAAGGCAGAGAGGTTTTTAGGATTTAAGAGACGGCTATAAGGGAGTATTGAAGGTCCCTGAGACAGCAGGGGTAGGGGATCAGGAGCGGGATCTCCGCTGGGTTAGGTGGAAAGTGAGGGAATTGCCCCAGGCTGAAGTGGCTGCCGAGACAATGGGGACGGATCCTGACACCGGGAAGGAAAACGCCTCCCGTTTGTGCCCTGAGGTTACAAATCTCCCCGCCACACGGTTTTACCACGCTGCCCTGTCTGCCGGGGGTAACTCTGGGTTTAACACGGCGGGTAGCCTTGCTGCAGCATTTTCAGCGTTTTGGGGTTGCTTTCTTTGCATCTCTCCTCCAAAGAAGTAACAAAGGCGCCTTGTTAGTTTTATTGTCCCAGAAAATGCTGAAGTTCCCAGGTGGTTTATGTTAAACGCGCTGCCTCAGATGGTTTTAACGCGCCCTCATTCCCGATCTCACAGCCCCGTTTCGGTGTTTGCCTGATGTTTCCGTGCTGTGAGTGGTACTGGGGAAATCTGCCAGGCTGTGGGTGCAGGAAGGTGCCCCGTAACCACACGGGGCCGAGCACTTTGGGACCTTTCGGTGTTGGGCAGTGATTTGGTGGGAGGACGAGTGGCTGCAGGGGGCTGAGGCTGCGGGATGGGACAGGAGGGGACGGGAGGGGACAGGAGCCTTCCCAGCCCCGCAGGACTCAATGAAATAGTAAATCAGCGTGGCACAGACCTGCCAGCTCACGTGTTCCTGGCTGGCAAAGCACCACGCGTTCATCTCCCCAGCCACGCTGCAGGGATGGAGCCCGCAGCACTCGGCTGCTGCCGTGCCAGGGCTGAGAGCTCCTGCAGTGTTCGGAGCCCCTCTGCCCCCCCTGCACTGCCACACCTGGGTTATTTGGGGCAGAAACCTTCCCTTTCGGTTCATCTCGAGTCTTACCTTGCAAGGTTTGCGTGGTTTAGGCAGCACTGTGTAAAAATAGTGTACATAGCACTAGTCATGGTGGGTTTTTGTCCTTTTGGTGAAGAAGCACTTGTCCATTTTCCCAAAAAAGCACGTGCCAGGCTTGCGCCCAGCTGTCTTGTAGGGTGTGCAGGCTGGGGTTGTGTGCTTAGCTTGAGATTGCAAACATGGTTGAAGGTGCCTGGATGCGGTGTAGGTAGGAGCCTGAAAAGCTGGATTCAGCATAGAGCTAACCCCACAGGAAAAAGAGCCGGTCACTAAATCACCCATGGGCTACACGTGCACTGAGCCTGCCTGGAGATGTCCCTACAGTGGAGAACTTACATCTCAAAGCCAGCTCCTAAAAGCAGGGTTACCTCACTCGAGTTTTTGAAGGTGCAGATTTGCGTGCGTACGTTTCAGTTCAGGGATTGTCTGGAGATGCTGCCGCTGGTTGTGAGCTCTGCTGGGGAGTCGGCATGCAGGCAGGGATTTCCTGAACCCGCAGCGTGCTCTCACGGAAACACAGTGTATGGAATTCCTGGCATAGCTTCCACCGGGCAATTTGCATTAATGCGAAAAGGTAAATACACTTATCAATTAAAAAAAAACAAAGCCAACACCACACCTTCGATGCCTCCTGCAGGCAAAACTCAGAGGAACGTGATATGGATGGAAAATACTCTTATCTGCAGGAAACAACTACTGCCCCGTGGATAAAGTCGGTAATGCCAGTTATCTTGTTGTTTCAGGAGGACAAAAAATGTTTTACATGCGACTCGGAGGATCCCTTCCACGACACCCTCAATCCCGACAGCCACCGCATCGAAAACGTGGTCACCACGTTTGCTCCCAATCGCCTGAAGCTCTGGTGGCAGTCAGAAAACGGTATGCAGCTTGGTGGGGACACATTCCCTGGGCTGGGAGTTGCTTTCCCTTCTTTTGTCTGCGGGTACCTCCGCGTTTGCTGTTAGCTCAGGGCTGGTAATTGCTGCTGTGGGAGGGATCGTGCTGGTAGCAGCGGGCTGAGTAAAACTGGCTGCTTTTGTGTGCCCGTAACGAAGCCCCGCGAACCCTCCAGGAGTGCTGGAAAGAGCTCTCTCCCGCCGCTCTGTGAGAATCCTTTCCTAAAAAGAGAAGTTTCCCACCCCGGCTCCAGATCTGCCTCATGTTTGGGCAGAGGCAGCGGCGCAGCTTGCCAGCGGCGAGCATCCCGGGGCAGCGCTGCCAAGCCAGGAGGCGCCGCAGGGCTTCCCCACGCTGCTGGGGGAGCCGGGGGAAGGAGGTGGGCTGGGGGCTGTGGGGCTGTGGTCCTGCCCTCAGACCTCCACCTCCCTGCTTTCCCTTCCCCAGGCACCCTACATTCCTGTACTCGCGTGCCAAACGGTAAAATGAACGCCAGAAACGAGCCAGCAATTTTTTATTTTTTTTTCACAATATATTGCGTGTCCGTTTTGTGGCCTTTTATTTTATTTTTCACCCTTCCTCTGCCCTTTTTTTGCTTTTATGGTTTTACTTTTGGCGGGCTTCCCTACACAAAGCAAGGCATCTAGATTTTCATCCTGCCCTAAAGCCTTAAAGCCAGATGGACAGGATGGGATTTCTGCAAAAGCAGTGGCAGGAACTATCCGACTCTACGTTAAAATAACATGGTAATACTTGTAACATTTCTGTTGTCCAGTAAAGAAAGATTTTCTCTAAATCCTTTTCCTCTAAATCATTTTTAACCATTTCTTTTTAACAATTTAGATCAGACTGGCGAGCTGCTCATCTCTAGTGGCTCTCTTGTAGCGTTCCAAATAATTCATGTTTTTTGCAACAAGCTTGGCAGCACTCAGACAGAAGAGTTCTTAGCGCATAAGGTCATGAAAATGTCCTTCAAGAGTGGAAAACAAATGATTCTTTCTGTCCAATTCATGTTTTCTTCCACTCAGGCACACAGCAGAAGGGACCATCACTGCACACTCTACATGAAGTCACAGCTAGTTGAAAATTTAAGTGTTTTATCAGTTTGTGCTTGTCATTTCTTAGCCTTCCTCCTCTCTGCAAATCTCACTGGATTTTTGTTTTGTTTCTAACTTCAGCATAATTAGTATCCAGCTATTCTGAGAGGTCTTTTCACATGGCAAAATAATATTTCTGTTTTGCTTCCTTTCTGCACAGTCTTTGACCGTAGGTAGTTGTGCAGCACAGCTGGGAAAACCTTTTGCTTGTCATGGTTTCCTGCGGTGGCAGGGCAGGGCTGGGATAGCTGGCTTAGGGGTACTCCAAAAAACAGGTTATAAAGAAACAGGGCTGTGTTGTGTGAGGACAGCGTGGGGCTGGGCTCAGCATCCTTGCCCTTACCAGCCACCGAGCACCTTGGTGCCAGGATGCAGCCCGTAGCAGCCCTTGTCCTCATCCTACATCCGTCGGTGTTAGCCATGTTATGCGCTCTGAGATCACAGCAGTGCAGGTTCACACTTTGCATGTAGCTGCAGGGTGTCTCTGCAGGTGTTGCATGGCACTCCCTGTGCGATATGGTCCTCAGCAGCCCCTTGCTGCCTCCTTGTACCTTGCTAAAGCACTAAATCCCTTTTTTGACATCAGATCCAGACGGCAAAGGGAAAAGGCCTTGTGCCACCAGAGCACAGGGCCTCAGCAAAATGTTGCTGCAGAGGCTGGCGGTGTCCTTGATTGTTTCAGTTCCTTTGCTCTGCCCCTGCAGGTCTGGAAAATGTGACTATCCAGCTGAACCTGGAGGCCGAGTTTCATTTCACTCATCTCATCATGACCTTCAAGGTAAGGACACCACAGCCTTACCCATACCCTCAGCAGGAGCCCTGCACAGAGCCCCACAAGTCCCCTAAAACACAGGGAAGCGAGAGTCCTTTGCATCCAGGTGATGTTTGGGACAGGGGCTCTCTTTGAGCTGTTTAGCCTGATTTTTAGATCTGTCAGCCATTAACTCCTGAAGTCACGCAGGAGTGACTTGTGACTTGAGTTGTGTTTAAACTTCAAGTGTGGGGCTGCAGGAGGAGTCGCACAAAATCCGTGCCGTTTGCCTCTCTGCAGTGGTTGTGCTGCTAGAAGATCATTACCTAAGTCGTATAGTAGCAAGGATTTTTATTTTGTAAAAAAAATTAAATTGGCCATGCTATCAGTTTTCATTTGGCAAATGTAAAGGTCTTCAGGAAGAAGAAACATCTGTACACAAAGTGTCTTTGTTTCCTTCCAAACAGATGTCTTGGAATGGCAGATCATGTCCTGTACATCCTAAATCACAGGCAGCCTTCAGCTGAGGTTTCAGGGCCCACAGGGCTAAATCTCTTTGTATGTAAACAAATTAATCTCTTAAATTATACCCGTCAGCTTTCCAGCAGAGCCTGTTCCTTTGCCTTGAGGCATCGGCTTGGGTTTCTCCCCTTGCCTTGAGGTGGTGGCTGAGGTGGGAGGTGGTCCCCTCGGGTCCCCTTTGCGGGTCCCCAGCAGTGAGGGACCCTCACCGGGTACCGGTGCCTCTGGGCTCATCAGGAGCTTGGTCAGGAGGAAGGCCTCGGGGGAAAAAAGATGGTT